GGCACATGGGAACACTTACAAGTTACTGTGTGTTTGTTATAAACTAAAGAAGCACTAAGACACCAGGAGTTTGTGTCGAACTTGTTGAAACTGTCACCAAATTTGAGTTCATCCACTAATCCTGCATTTAACCTCTTAAGTGGTATTTTGTAATCTTCTCTTGTTAGCCATATATCGTGATGTATCGTTATATGATTGTCTCACACTAAGTCTATTATAGCACTAAATCTATTATCGCACAATCGCTGTATCATGATGCACCCCTACCCATCAATAGCTCCAGACCATTTCCCCTTACAATTATGAGTTTGATTATCAATGATGAATAATTGACACAGATCCATTAGTGACAGTCATCAACCTGCCACCAGAAAATAAATCAACGTAAGATGACAATGGAAGCGTTTGTTGATATTCTCTGGATCTTTTCTTTGCCATAATTAAGAGTTTGTGAACCAATGTCTCTGAGCTCTGGTTCAAGCTAAGAAATGAGTGGCATTATCTCCAGTAGTCTAGGTAGATTGCTCAGAGGAGTTAATGCTCAGTGGCTTAGGGCGTTACTTGGAGACAACATGGAACACTGTGACGTCCTCTGGGACAACATAGTGTGTGTGGACCTGGTCCGATGGGGGAAAACGGCACTGGTTTGGATGAAGACGGCTCCTAAGAGAGCACTGTTATGTCTACTGTGGCCCGGCATTTGGGGATGCACTGTTTGTGCCAGATCTGTTATTGCTGTTGTCTCTTCACGTTCGCATTTTAAATTGGCAGTCACCATTGCGGCACAGTTGAAATGGGCTGTGAGTATGTCAGGTAACAGCCATTTCCTATTTGAGATTAAACATAATCCTTTATCAGAGTGATGTGCTGAGAGAGAAATGATGTCAAAACTAACATGAGAAGACAAATGTCATTATTATCATACAATATATTCTCAGTCTGTGTGTTCCTGCCATGTCTGTAAGGCTCAAACATGTAGGCCTGCTATCCTGTATGAACAGTCCTCTGCTGTTTGATGGTCAGCTCTGTAAACCACACATTAGTGCCACTAACCATAGTAACTGTGCAGTGCCATGTTGAAGTGTGCGTGCGTATACGTGCATGTGTGTGTGTGAAAGTGTAAACCCACTAAAACTCACTGAACATTTTGCTTATTGTTGACTTTAAATTATTATTGTCATGGTTTTGAGGCCATTATTAGACGCTCAATACTGAATCAACTTTAAAAACAGATAAATACAGGACCAGCTGAAAACACTGCACCTGTGTGTATGCACGTGAGAGTCCGTGCCCTTGTGCATCAGGCAGTGTTCTGGGTGTGAGTTTCCACCGGGACTCATCTGCCCAGGTTAATGCAGCTGAGATTTAGTTGCCCCTGGAAACACCCCTGCCTGTCTGCATACATGTGTTGTGAAGCTTCTTTAGCGGCGCTTCAGACCACCCAGGGGAGAAAGCTTATTGTCTGCATTCAGCCTTTTATAACAGAAAGAGAACAGTCCACACCTTCATGTGCTAACTGTGCTTATTGGATATAAAATGAAGCCATGTGGTCATTATGAAGCAAATTACCCTAAAATGAGGAAAACTCACTAATTTAATTTCCTGTAAGAAACATTAGTTTATTATTTTTATAGCTTTTATCACTTACTAAATCCATCAGCTTATTAAAACTCTGCAAATAAAAAGGCTGTAATATTGTTTACCCCTAATTATTAAACAGTATGAGTGTGTCACAATGTTCCAATTCACATGGCTGCAAATCATTTCTGATGTGTGTTTTAATACGGTATAAATTAAATGAATTGGCATAAATGAGAAACTTTAAAGTTTATTTATAGCACATGTGAAAACAATCGCTGTTTACCAAAGTGCTGTACAATAAAAGAAGCCAATGTGAAATACAAGAAAAGAGTAAAAAACTACAATATAGATGAGCATGAAATAAAAGAACGAAGCCTAGCATTAAAATAGAACAGAATAAAAATGCGATGATTTGGATAAAAACAACTTAAGGACACTCATGTCGACAGAAGGGTGGCACTTGACTGTAAACGGTAATCAGTTCCGAAGCTTTTCATCAGTATGTTCATTCCACTGCATTCATTTAGTAAAGTCACCTTCTCTAGCTGCTCATGTACTGACAGATGAAACAGGCAGACAGACGGAGTGGAGCGGGGGCAGTAAGTAGCACTATCTCACAGTATTAGGGCGAGATCAGAGGGGAAATCAGATTAGAAAAAGGGGCAAAATGGCAACACAAATATTGCCTAATATGATCTCGTACGTTTCATAAAACGAGTGACATTACACGAGGCTAAGCTCATAATGACCTTGCTTTTAATAGGCAGGTTGGGGTACAGTAATCTGATTTAGCATAATCTCCTACAATCTCTGATAAATGCTTACAGCATGCATCTCTCAGAGAGGTCAGACCCTATTGGTCGGGTTTGAGGCATTAGTGACATCTGCTGTTACACACTCACACACAAAGCCTCGTTCTCGTACAGTAGGACAGAGTGTAAAGAATTTAATGATGCACGTTTAACAGATTAATACTGGGGATGACAGGAATTACAGTTTTATAAAGATTGAAATAAACATGTGTTTAGGAGTAAAATAAAAATCCAAATAGGATTAAAAACTGGTGTTATGCTTATACGTTACAGTATTTATACAGTGAAGACAGTACTAACCCCCAACCGCCATGAGTCTGTGGTAGCACCTAAAGACAGGCAGTGCCATAAACATTGAAAGAAAAGAAAGCAGTTGAACTTTCTTAGCCAAAAACGTATGGATAGACAGTTGAAGTAGTTATCTATAACTAAATAATATATATTATTTGATTCAAGAAAAAAAAAAAAAGTATGAATATCAAGAGAAATCCACATATTCACTTCAAACAGAACTGCACATAGTGGACGATGGACTTTTGAGATTCAACATCCTTCTATGATTCTCATCATTCAATATGAATATAAACAGCGTCTGCAGGTGTTCAGGCAGCAGTATGAATCTGGCTTCACACGTAACCAACAACATGTTTTAAATCAACTGAATGTTTATGTTTTAACATGTTAATATGATGAACAGTTTCTGATTTGATTATCCTCTCCTTAATAACCAAAAACAATACATTTAATTGTTTAATTCATTAATTTTCCATTAGATTTCCAATTCAAACTAATTCAATTTCATCAAACATTTTATCGTTTCACAAAAAAACATTGTCTGTAACTGCTCTAAAATCAAACCCGAACAACAAATATTTTTTCTATCTGCAAACAGAAGGAAGTGTAAAACCCTGGATACTTCACTCATTTTGTTAATATACAAAATAAAACTGCACATGCACCTTCCTACTCTCCGATTTGTTACCAGCAAACTGTACAAACTTCTTAACCACCTCTACTAGATTTCATAATCTTGTAATTCACTAGTGACAAACAGTGATCAATAGTCTCAAATGCATTCAATTCACCAATAAACCCCCCCGCCCGTGTATGGCTTTCTTCCTTTGGCTTGTGTGATTACTAAGGTAAATGGTTGAAATAGCTTAAAGTAATGGGTCCAATTCAAATGTGTGGAAAAAAAAGTGTTGGAATATGAAACTCTTAGTGCAGCGAAAGTTATCCCCATGAAATCAGTTGAAAAGAAAACACTTGGAACATGACATATGCAGTTAATGAAGGGAAGCAGTACATGAGTTCCTCTGATAGTGATGCAGGAGAACCACTGTTCTACAGTGTGCCACACGTGATCCATTCAACTGTGATTGACAAACAAACCTGAGGAGGCAAAACTCAAAATATGTTGGTTTGTTTTGTATTAGACATTTAAACTGAAATTTTTAAATTCAAATTTACCATGTTTACAAGAAAGAGTTTGAAACAGAAATCGATCAGTTGTATAGAATTGTGTATCCATGAATGGATAAAGATGAAATACTGTGTTCTGTAAAGAGTATTCTGACAATAGATATCTTCATTCATTTAATAATATTGTTTTTTTCCATGAGAATAATAAAAGAATTGGACACAAGATAGCAGAACGTGTCAGCTGATAAAACACATGAGAGGAAAAAACAAGTTCTGCACATTATACACTTTTGATAATTCTGTACTTTCCTAGAAGATTATTCAAAAACCCTTGGATTATTTGAAGATTATTTGAAGAACCCTCCACCACTTGATTTCCAGGAGTTATCAGGAACTCTATCACCACAGTTGGACCAGATGGGCATTTGGGCCTCCCAGTGGCAGGAACCTGTAAGTGCATTTATCTCGTGCTGCTCTGTGCTCTCTCCAGGTCCTCTGGATGAGTGATTATAATATTATATTCTCTCCATACTGTCGAGAATCAGTTGGAAACTGTTCTGATCTCCACTAGAAGAGGTTTCAGTGTGATGTGGGAGAAGTTTTACTGTGTAACAGTTTCTGAAAACAATAAAACTGATCATCTACCTTAAACCGTTGCTGTATTTTAGCTGACACTATAATTCTAAGATTTCTCCTTCACTGCCTTTCCCCTTTAAAGATAATTTGATGTGTGTAATACTTTTTTTCTTTATATAGAACATGCAGAGAAAACTGGAAAGTGGATGAGCTAACATGAAAACAATGTCCTATACAGCTGATATGCAAATGATGATTCACCACAATAGCTACTGGCTCCAGAATGCTGCTGATACGAACTGACCAGAACGACAGTGACGGCCTGATCAACACGCTACACTTTCATTTGCTTTTATGTAAAACCAGAGTTTCTCCATTATTCATCTGCATGAATTCACGTTTTAGTTCATAGACGACACCTTGTTTGACCTCAGTCTGAACTCTGTCTCCTTTCACATCATGTGTACAGTACTAGCAAAGTTACAGTATGCACTTTAAACATCTGCTGGTTTCCATTAGCTGACACACCATTAACCAGTGCTCTAGTGGGCATTACATGCACCCCCTGGTGGCAGAATTAGGTACATTCAAGTGCTTCACTAAACTACAGTGAGGGTCGAGAGGGCACGCTCAGAGTTGAAAGGCCAGATTCTGATGAAAGGATTGAGTAAGAGGTGAAAAGTAATTTAAAGAAAGAAAACTTGCAAAAACCTAAAACTTTGTCGTTAAGTGGAGCGTCATGATCACCACGTCTTTCCAGTAAAAAGCATTTTAACATCTACATTTCTAGTTACTGTATCTGTGTGGTAGAATGAAATGGTTCAAATAAATTATCAGACAATTCTTACATCCTTTAATTTTTAAATGTATGTAATAAATAGGTCATTCATACACACACTGAATATACAATATATGACATTTCTTTATGTATAGTTTCATTGTGTGTGTGTGTGTGTGTGTGTGTGTGTGTGTGTGTGTGTGTGTGTGTGTGTGTGTGTGAGACCAGATCTCCCCAATGGCCATCATCAGCAGGTACAGCAGAGGTCAGTCAGCAGAGTTGGAGACCAAAGCCATCAAGGTGACTCTGTAAATATTCCTTTCATCCCCCTTCACAGTAAGAGGCACACATGTCTGCACCACCTCATAGGGCTGAAAAGACACACACACACACACACACACACACACACACACACACAAACAAACACACAAACAAACAAACAGTGAACTAAAAAGTACATCAAATCTTGACACAGGATTTAGAACTGCACTATCTTTTTACTGATKCATGCACTCGCTTCAGTAAATAATGCAGGAAAGGAAAGTGGTTCCTCACCTTGTATCCACTCTGAGGGCTCCATGTGACCCTGATGGTGCGTGTGTGGCCTGCCTCCACTGTGCCTTTGCTGGGCTCTATACTGAAGCCCTGCTGCTGAAGGGATGCCACATTCTCCCAGTAAAACTCACCACTCTGCAAAAGAAATGAAACAATGACCTAAGAGACATACAATAATAAACAACATGGGGCAGTTTTATAATAAGGGAACTAGTATGTAGAATAATAAGGATATAAAATAATAGTGATTTAAATTCTGTAAAGGGTCAGTGTGTACAATATAGTGGGTAAATTGTCATGTTGCAGTTGAATACCCTCCAATCCCCCACCCCCATGGTGGCCTCCGTACAGAGGACCTGCTCCTCATGTAAATATACAGTATTTCAATGTAAAGGACCCATTCTAGAGTAAAGAAAAAAACAATTGATACATTTTTGAAACACACTTGTGAAAACCTCATAAGGATTTTTTTAAATATAACATTTCTGTCAGAAGATCCCTTTCACCTAAATCTTACACACTGAGCCTTTACGTTTGTATGAAGTTTATTCCTGCCAGAAAGAAGTTATTAACCCTCCTATGACGCATGTCAGTTCACTTTTTTCACAGTTTGTCTATTGCCTCTGTGGTTCTTCATGCAGTTCCAGTACCTTCTTAGTGGGCTGCGTGGAGCGGATGCAGCCCACCTGCAGCTCCCTCACTGCAGGCGTGATGGCACCCCCGCTGCAGCGGGCCCGTAGGCTCACCAGCACCGGGATGCTGGGATCTGACATCACTTCTGACTCTGCTAGATAGAAAGAGGGTCATGTCAGCAGTTTTACCACATTTATGTTGAGTCATACAGACTTTAACTTCACTTGGATGGAGTTTTCTGGCACAGTTCATTTGAATCCTAGTTAAACATTAAAAAAAAAGCAAATTAACCAATTTATAAATTTGAATGACGTGGCATGGCTCTAGCGTTCACAAAATTAAGTCCACATTTTTGTCCAAATACTTTGCTTTAAATATTTTCAGAGCCAAGATAAACTAAGCTAACCATGTTAAACATCACACCCTAAGTAGTAACATGTTAGCCTGCCAGTGTTAGCATTTAGCTTACAGCACCACTGTGTTTGAACATGGCCACTGTGTTCGATGACATCTGTTGGCTTCCCTTCATTTATTTCATCACTTTATACTTTTATTGATACTTAGATTAAATATTGCTGTTTCCGAAAGCATGTTATACATTTCAGACAAAGGGCAGATAGAAGTCAACATGGTTACAATTGTAACATCACACAATGATAATGTGACATTAATATGGATCAAAGCCCACCTCATGTTCAGTATGAGCATGTCTCAAGAGTCTGATTGGTTTTATACTGTAGGGAAATGAATGAAAATGACTGTCAGCCCACATAGACGGGGAAAAGACATCCCAAAACCTAGATATGTGTAGAATATAATTGAAAATGGTCACCAAAAACACCAAGTGTACAAGGTGTGTAGTTAAGGAGAACTAAAACACATTGTCCTATAATATCATCTTTCTTTAATAAACTGCAAATATGCAAACTTCACCAATGTTCATTTTGCTGTGTGTCATTCACAATCAATTATTACATCTTATTTCCTGCAGGAGCCAAAATCAGCAGAGATCACACATCTCATCCAGTCGCTGATGTGATTTAAATGCACCAACCAACATCTGTTTGATTCAGTAAAACTCACAACAACCTTGTGAAGCAGGTGCCTATTCTCAAACATGGCCTCTGTGGTGGAACATTATCTGACTGCTGCTGATGAGCATATGTGCTGTCAGCATGCTACGATTAGAATATCTTACTACTTCACATGTGATGGCCCTGCTTGCATAAATCATGGACGGTGTCAGGTAGTTATTTGTCATCTTCATAGCTTCAGTGTCTGTATTTTCTCTGCCTGAGCTTTCTGTCTTGTTGAAGAGTCAGTGACTGAGATAACATGCTGATAATCAAGTTTCACAGATCATTTCCAGGGGTAAAAAACGCGGCAATGAGCTCGTTCACACAAAATTTGTGTTCCTGTAAAACACCAGCAGCAAGGGAAGAAGTGAGGGAGATGTTACCTGTGGGCTGAGTTTGACTGGTTATCAGTGGAGGGAGGAGGGATTCTATGGGCACGGTCAGGGCGTCTCCTCCGTATAGATACGTGTTGTGTGAGGAGGCGGCCCCCTTCAGATCCATCACACACACTTTACTCTGAGAGGCAGAAATGACACAGTGGCTGTAATATCATGAAGACCAGAGAGAGTAGAGGACAAACAGGTGCACTTAGTACATTTAGACAAGATCGTATGGAGCAGACAAGCCTGGGCCATGTGATGACTTTTACAACCAGTGATGAAGGCCATGGTCACGTTGTGTAAAGAAACGTAATGAAGGCTTAAAGTGTGTGTGTGTGTGTGTGTGTGTTATTATTACTGACCTTATTCATGAGCTGTATGGTGAGTTTGTCAGAGTAGTTGACAGACGGGTGGTCAGGCTGAAAGGTGACAGTGATGTCCTGGCTCTGTCCTGGAGCAATGCTGCCCTCTACTGGAACTACACTAAACACACTCAGCCCACTGTAGTTCTGGGTTCCTGTATAACATTCAAAAGATAAATTGTAATCACTATTTCTACATGTGCTATGTCTGCTAATAGTACAGCTGTTGAAATGAGACCTAGTCTTCACTTTGTTGTGCAAATAGATTTTATGTCAGATGCCACAGTGACTGACATTCATAATGTTGCTTGTTTAGTCAACACGAGTTACCATATTATATAAAGTCATTCTACTTTAGAGTAAATAGAACAGGCCGATGTATTCTTGTTTATATGGAAAAGCTATTATTATATTAATAATTTATATATAATATAATATTATACATACAGTACATTACATTACAATATTAGCGTACAGCTTCTTGTTCCCTGCCCACATCCTTCATTCTTCTATTTCAAAAATAGTAAGAGCACAGCTTCACTGAGCAGGAAAACCAAAACTAGTTGTTGATGTGAAATACTATTCATGAAAAGAGGATCCTTAAATTCAATATCAGCAAAGTCAGTATCTATCTTCTTTTTGCATATGATAAAGGTAAGAGTGCAAAATCCAATGTGGTTGAACTTTAAACTGTATTCACCTATCTATGTACTAATGCATGAGAAAGAGCAACAACGTGCCTGAGTCTGTTATTAGTTATAAACCAATAATAATCCTATGTCAAGATATAAAGCAACTTGTATGTACTGATCTAAACCATGGTGGAGAGCTAAAGCTTGGACACTGTGTTTAATGAACATGTGACACGTGTCATTTTCCATATAGAGCTCTAGAGGTCAAAGTTTACCAGGGTGAACTGAATGACATATTCATTTCATCTTACCCACAATGGGCTGGACCTGAGAGTCTGCATAACCACCCAGCAGGACAGCAACACTGTCAGCGCCACCCTGAAGCCTGGAGGGAGACAGACTGGCAAGCAGCGCCCTGAAACCCACCGCCACCGTAGAGTTGTTCTGCAACTGCAGACAAAACCGGGCTAATGTTGTTACCAAGGATGCAAAGTGATGGCATGTAATCAATGCATATTAACAGTCAACACACTCACAGTTCTGTTATCAATCATGTACAAATACTCCTACTCTTGACTGACCTTCAGGACCTGTGAGGTGCTCTCCTTCTCTAACACACAACCGAAGTCGAGGAGACCTCCAGGGTGGGACGAGGTGACAGCGGGGACCACGCCCTCCCCACGCAGAGTCACCTCCAGGGTCATTTTATGGTCATGGATGTCCAGAGTCTCACAGTACTAGAGAAGAGTGGAAGGTGGGAGGGTAAGATCTCAATATTCATTATGTTATTACTTACTAAATTATTTTTATGAGGATTTTTCTCTTGAGACGTACTAGTACTAGTACTAATTTAGAATAATGAACTTGTTGACGTCTTGGTCATTCATTATTGTGGAGAAGTGTGATACAATGGCGATATATGTGTACTGTTTGTTAGGACCCAGCTTCATAATGAATTCCAACCCACCGTTTTCTCCAGACCTGGACTGAGGGCCAACAACAGAGTGTGTTTTTCTCCTGGTCTCATGCATCTGGGAGCGTTGAGGAGAGAAAATGGACCATGTATGTCCAGCACTGATGTCCTCAGCTTGCAAATGGTCAAAGAAAAGCACTGTGAAGGCTCATCATTAGTATTTATTAATATTCACCTGTGCCAAGGAGGTTATGTTTTCGCCCCTGTGCATCTGTTTACTTGTTTCTTTGTTTACTTAACAGTTAACTTAGGAAAACAAAGTGTTTTTTCATTTTTGAAGAGGCACCACAGACCTCTATCTGCAGAGAGATGTTTTAAAACTTTCACTTGTTGCTTGAAGTCATTCATGTATTTAACATAACCTCTTTGAAATAGTAAAACTGTAAAAGACAAATGTATGAGCACAACAAGAATTTATCATGATCAGTAAACGGCCCTGTTTTACTGAAGTAGATAAAATGTTAGAGCAGAAAAATCTGATGTAACAAAATTGTATCTCAGATTAAGGCTAAAATGAAGCAGAGATTTAAATGAATTAGCAGATGTTACATCTATTAGCACTTGAGCTCTGGTTTTGCAGAAAGGATACATCCAAAGATTCATTCGAAATGTTCTGAATTGTAAACTTCTTAATCACCTTCTGTCCTAAAAGCAGAAGACAAAAATACAAAAAAGGTGTTTGAGGTGTTTACACATGTGAACATTTATAGTGTGTGAAGAACCAGTGAATCACACAAACATTCAGAATGACTCACCCACTGCCACCTGATGGAAGTCTATGATGTTGTGTCCGTTGTTGGAAATCCCCATTAGAGAGGGCTGGACAGCAGGACACTGCAGCTTCAAGTAGAGCGTGTTGAAGGCACTGAAGAGATGTTGGGACATGACAAGCTATTGAATTTTAAAACACACATTAATGAAATCCTTAAATCCTGCTACTTCCATCTACAAGAATTAAATCAGTTCCTTCTCTCCCTGACTTAAAAAAGCTGATGCATGCCTTTGTCTTTTCCCTTCTGGACTATTGTAATGCCCTTTACACATGCCTTAGTCAAACCTTAGTAACTCGTTTGCAGCTTGTTCAAAATGCTGCTGCTAGTCTCATATCACACCAATCCGTGCATCCCTTCACTGGTTGCCAGGTTAATTCAGGATTGATTTAAAGATTATTTTTAAACTATTAAAGCTCAACATGGGCTGGCCCCCACTTACACTAACAGCTCTTGACTCTGTACAATCAGTCTCTACCTGAGATCAGCCAGCCTGTCCTTGTTAGCTGTCCCTGGGTCAAGGCTGTCTACTCAGGGTGACCATGCTCTCTCTGTCAGGGCCCAGGCTCTGGAACTCCCTGCCTGACGAGATTAGACTCACCAACTCACTATCTATCTTTAATCACTGCTCAAAACTAATTTTTATAGGAAAGCATTTTTAATATGTGATGTGTAACTCTGGTGCTACTGTGTTGTTTTAACTCCCTTATTGCTTTTTATCTTCCTTTTATTGCAACCACATGTAATGTAGTTTCTTAAATAAGACAGCTTCTGACTCTGCTGCCTATGACAGTGGGTAATTACTTTAGTTTAAGAAAAGGCATCGAGGTAATGACGTCTATTGAGTGGGCCACATGGCTTTCATAGCACTGCCATACAAACCAGTAGCCAGTCAGATTTACCTTTAGTCTCAGTGTAGCCTCAGGTTTGGCTCTTAACAACAGCTTTCTTTCCTCTGGTAGGAAACACCCCTCCCACTAAAGCTCACCAAGTCACATGTCTTATTATATCATGTGTATCGGTCTTATTATAGTTTATTTTGAACAAAAATGTGTACTAAAGAACAAGGTGTCTATTCTTGACTATTCTTGGCCAAGTTCTGTAACTTCCCTGGGTTGACATGTTTCCTATGTACGGATGTGGACTCCATGTGTTACCTCCATGCTGGTGGGGCCTGTCTGTCATCGTCAGGAGGGTCTCCTTCTGATATGAAACAGGGAACGATGAAGTCGCTGCAGCGCTGAGTGAAGGAGCACAGCAGAGAAGCCCTGGCCTGCTCATACTGCTCTGACCTAGAGGTATAAGACCCCACACATTTAAATAAATCAACAAACACTCCTTCAATTTTGCACAATGAAATCCTTTTCATCAAGGTTTTTTAGCTCAGCTGAGACACTGCGGTGTTTATGGTGGGATCAGTGCAAACCAAGAGAAGAGGGAATGCTGATGAAACCACTTATGCTTTGGCAGAAGAGAGGCTGTACAAGGAAAAGCTTTGTGTGTAATTTATATTTCAGTGTTGTTGGAGTTCAGACTTCTAACCAAGTTATTAATTGGGTATAGCCTACTTACAGAGACAGGCCTTCAGGGAGCATGTGAAAGATATTTCCTCAAGAATAATTTATTCTCTTTTTGCAGACCTAATCTTTGATTTTTGGCAATACAATATTTATTAATGAATTTTTACTTCACAGGCATTTCCCTTCTGAAGACTAGACATGTTTTCCAAATAAAGTTTGTTAAAAAGTCAGGACTAAGAAAAAAACCCCGACCTACCCTGGCTGTATGTCGACAGGATTTGGTGATTCTGATTGTTGGTCTGTCTTTGGGTCATCTGACATCTTGCTGTTCTTTAGATTTGTAGATGCTTTTTTTCCTTTGCTGGGTTCCACTGGGATCTCCTTTGTAGTCTCACATCACATACATAAACATGACTGATGGGTTCACACAACGGTTAACATCCATGTGCAAGTGTGGTTATAACAAAATCTGCACTGTTGAAGTGTGTCCACATTTAAAACTCTCTCACTAGCAGAGGGGGGTCACTAGAGTGTGTGTGTGTGTGTGTGTGTGTGTGTGTGTGTGTGTGTGTGTGTGTGTGTGTGTGTGAAGTTACCTCCTGTTCAGAGAGTCTGTTCATCTCCAGCTCCTTCTCGCGGAGCAGCTTGGCTCGGTGGAGAACACGCAGCACCTCTTCTCTGATCTCATGCTCCAATAGTCTGGGTCTGAACGTCACCTGAACCTGGCATCTCTGGTAAGAGGAGAGATGGTCTCATGTAAGGGATCACTGACCTCTTTAAATCTGAAAGCTACCTGAAGGGTAGAGAATCTTAGGGAGGGATACTTATTTTATGTCTCAGAATATCAAATATTAACACACTTAGCGTGCTGTGGTTTTGTAAAATGTGTTGCCTGCATAAACAAACATGTGTTTCATATTTATATTCCTGGATAAACGGTGCATCACTTCTTTATCAACAATTAAGTTAAAACACTGTGTTGCATCATCATCTGCATCATCATCTGCAGTCACTTTAACCCTGATGTCCTGCTGTGCGTGTCCCGTCTAGTCTCATGTTGTGTGTGGCAGGTGAACTGCATTGCGTGCAAAATGTTGGAAATACATATCTCATAAATTCTCAAGCTAATAAAAATAAAACCTGTTTCGGTCCTGATAGCTTCTGATTAGTGTTGGTGTTTATTGTTAATGTGCAAAGTGAGGGCAGGTCAGAGGAGGGACATGTGTGTCTGCCCCAATCCCGAAGCAACGACGGGCTGCCTCTGCAAAATAAAAGTAGTGGAAGCCCTGCCTACCTTATATGGGACATAGTACGTGACAAATAATTCTAAAAATATTTTTTTCAGAATTTTTCTGTTGAGGCTTTCAGAGGGCTCCATGTTTTGATCTTATGTGCAAATTATTTTAAAAAAAAACACGAAAAAAATGTAGGCTTTTTTGACTGAGCTCTACTGATGACTATGTTGCTATTTTTAGAACTGCCTTGTGGGAAACTCATTGGCTGCCTTTGAGCGACCAGGTGCTTGTGGACATCGTGTTGGCTACCACTGATGTGATTAATCATCACACTAATACAGATTCGGATGACGTGGTGATCAGTATTGTGTTTTCTGTTGTACACATTTTCAGGAAACCAAAGAATGACATTCAGATTGTAGTATTCTTACACTCTAGTGATTTTAATCTTCAACTCTAATCCATATTTCATAGTCTAAATTACTTTTTGGGCAGTCTCGGTTCTCAGTTTTCTCATATAATGTGAACCACATCAAGTGGATTGAGACTTATAATCCCCCTGTCTCACAGTCGCAGAGTATTTACTGGATTTCTCCCTGTGGGCCTCCGTTATCAGTTTGGAGAAACAAATACAATTGATAAATCTTTTCTAGAAACAATGTATAGAGACTTCAAATACAATCCAGAGCAAGTAAACTGCTGATGAATATAACATTGATTCATTGTTATTCCTATTGTGTTCTGTACTCATTGAAATTGCTGCACAGACAAATTAATGACAACTTGTTCACTTCCATCAGGCGTCCACCAGAGAGCGATGTTACCCTATGAAATCCTCTGTTGTGAGTCGGTGGCAGAGGTGATGTTTGTCTCACTAGAATTATTTACAACCCTAGAGTTAAACTGAGCTGCAACATTTTTCCTCTGAGCTCCGTGATTGTTACATATATGTGGCAAATTGTCATAACAGGACACAGCCTACATCATAGTCCAAGGTTTTGTTTGCTGAGTAAAATAATAGGTTGAGTTTTTGTTTTGCAACTCAAACAATGTTAGGACATGAGAAAACACAAATCAGGAGATCAAGCTCCTGAGGTAGACAGCAGGTGATAAGGAGGGAGCTGAAGTAAGAAACTATACAATCTTCAGTTTACTCTGATAGAGATAAACAAAGTCTATGTTAAAGGGGGAAGACATTAGAAGAAATTTGATACTTAGACTCAAGGGGCCTCAAAGGGCAATACAGGGTTGTTTTCATTCCTCAGGACGAGCAAACTGCTATTTTGTTGAGGAGTGGCCCTGTAACATCAATGTAAACATAAGATGGTCTTTACTCCACCTGACCGGGGAGCAGGCGTCCTGCTGAAGGGGTGATGCTGATGTCCGAATCCTCGGGCAGGGTGAAGGAGAACAGCCTGGGTGCTTCAGGAGTCGTGACGTCCTTGATCACTGGCGTCACTGATTGTTTGGACTGGTTACGGTTGACGTGAGGGTTGATGAGGTCAATTATGGCGGTGGAGTAGTCACCTAATGCTGTGGCTCCAAACTGGATCAGAGAATGGGAGAGCTCAAGGGGAGGGCAGACACCCACTGCTCGGCAAGACAGCAGGAAATCTCTGATGCAATAGGTAAAGAAAATGTTATTAATTAACAAAAATATAATTTAATCAATTACAGACAGCAATCAAACCAGATATCCTCATTCCATACATCAATGTCCCATCAAATATAAAGATTTCCGTATATATAGAATTTACAAACAATAAAGGATTACAAAGAAACCTGTTAATTCCAGACTTGCAGGTGAGCTGGAAGTTGTACTCTCTGGCTTTGTTGGCACTGAAAATCAGATCCATGTCCAGGGTTTGTTGTGGGAGCAGGGTACCAAAACCATCATTAGGCTGGACCTCAATAAACTGTAATTCGGGAAAACAGAAACAGATCAAAAATTAAAATGATAATCCTTAAGATTTTTATGGAATCAGACAACAATGTTGTAATCCAACGGGATTTTACCTCATGTCAACAAGCTTACTGTTAACTGATCATTGTTAGCATATAGCAGCACAGCTGCAAATGAGGCAAAACTAGTGACAGGATGAGTGAAGCTAGCACTGAACATACTCTTGACTCCATTTTGTTGTTTTCAGTGGATAGTCTAGGATTGTCTCTGCTGGTATCTGGATTCAGGTTACTGTACTTCATAAATACATTAACCCAGGAAAATAAATTTTACAACTACAAACTGAAATCATAGAAGCTCATGTTATTCATGCAGTACCTCTGGAACTCCCAAGAAGCCAAAGTCCTGAGGCAGCAGGGAAAGGTTTGTGAGGCGAATGCTGCTCTTGACCGACTGGTAAATGGAACAGACGCCAAAGTCCACCTCAGTGTGCTCGAACTGCAGGTCTGAGGAAGTCACCACTGCCTGCACTGTGAAATGGACAGGCTGCACCTGAACACACACACATGGAGCATCTTAACAGACCTGCATTTGATGCGGATTCTCTTTATTTTCTCCAACCAACATGAGAACTATGCTGCATGTGTGTGTGTGTGTGTGTGTGTGTGTGTGTGTAGTCTCTGGAAGGTTTGTTCAGGATCATCAGGTTAATTTACCCCTTTGGTTAAATCATATATTTATAGAAAACTAAATAATCTGATGATTTTGTGAGCAGGGCTTTATTTTGTCAAGATGACGTCTTCTTGAGTCATGTCAGTGCTCAGAAGATGACCTTGTTTACTGGTGTCTGCACCATTGCTGCTGTGTCGTCTGGTGACCATACCACAGTGTGTGTGTGTGTGTGTGTGTGTGTGTGTGTGTGTGTATGTGTATGTGTGTTTGCAGTTGGTTGAATGCCAGGAGCTCAGGGCCTGGGGTAGGGGTGACAGCTTTGGTGCTCCACAGGAGCATCCTGGCCTATTCTTTTGGCTCCTTGTCACACTCCCCCACCCACCCCCACACTCCTCTCTTCTCTTCTCTTCTCTCCTCTCCTCTCTTCTCCTCATTCTCGTAGGGAAAGGGAAAAGGGGATGGACGGAGCGATATGGCACTAAGATGGACCAGATTTAAATTGACTAAAAAAGAGTACTGGCATTGATGCAACACAAATGTTTAAGCAGCTGCTGTGTGTGTGTTTTAATAAAAGCTGCATCTGACAAGTTAAAGGAAATCGGCTGCTGTGAGGATTTGATTTTCCACTTTAAGGATTTCTGAATTGATTGTATTCATATTTCAAAATACAAGCTGTACCTTGAGGAAGATATTTTGATTTGTAGGTGAGGAACAGCAAATGTTGTCTGAGGTGTAAAGAGGTGGATCTTTGTTGCAGTCGAAAACTAAAGTCAGAAAGAAACTGAAGCCTTAGCTGTCAAATTCCTGACAGATTACCGAAAATCTAAAAGGGAAATGATTGAATCTGCAGTATAGGTTTCCCAGTTTTCTAAAAAGCATGATCGTTACCACGGGTAACAGGCCACTGTTTGACTGTTTCATACCAAAATGAACCTTGGCAGCTGTGAATTAACTTCTCTACAAACATTTTTATGTGCGCAAACCATTTTGTGTCTGACTTGTTTCAGAAAATAACTAAGTATCAGTTATATACGACTTTATCTTGGGAAATACAAATTCTTTCTACCGGAACTCTAGTGATTACCTATATTCTTGTCTTTTTTATCCGCATGTACTCTATTGTCTGGCATTGACGAATTTATACACAATATGTGAGGGCATTATGAAATCGTATCCCTAATTCTGTAAGAGCTTAGCATGAAAGACTTGACATTAAGTAAAAACAACAGAACAACAGGAAAACATTTTAACATATAACCGCGATGGAATAAGAGAATAACACACACTGTAAATTCTTCCACAGTAACTTCCCATCTTCTGAGCTTCTGGAGACATTTTCAGTAAAACAATGTGAAATGACCTTTACGCTCGGCTTATTGACGCCCATGAAGTAACTGGGCCTTGGAGGTGGGAGATAATTTTAGCTTGTTACCAGCAAAATAGGTTGCAACCTTCAGTGAGTCTGTAGGGACAAAATAGGACACAAGCTCTGTATGGCAGGATCAGTATACACTGTTTACAGGATCACAGAGAGCTGTACTGTAAAATACACTGACTGTACACAGTGTAGTGTACGATACAAACCTGGCCTGCTACTTGCACTGTCACTGGAACCTCCAGGACTCCTGTATCACTGTCAAAATACTTCTTGACATCTTTGGACAAGGAACGTCTGTAAGAGATAGAGCAAGAGCACACACAGATATGCAAAGTGGCACTTTCTCATGAACACTGCTTCATCTTAACATCATGTACAGAGAAGAGCAAAGACGACCAATCAGAGGTTGAAAACAAACACAACAGTGATTTAAAAGGTTGCTAATATTTTTTTTCAATAAGTCAGATACAGGCAGTCAAAAGCTACGAGCCACTGTCGAGCTTTTCAAAGAAAGATAAAGATGCAGACCCTGAACACCCATTTACTTTACTTTAACCCACGACTGTAGGATCGGCTCGCCAGGGAAAGCAGGAGAGAGATGTGGAGTGCGCCTCCACACTAGTGTAGGTTGTAGCCATGGTGATGGCAGAGACGTAAGTATGATTCAAAGAGGCCCAGTAGTCATGCACAGGCTTATGTAAAACTCCAGTTTCTCAGTATCCTCCAGTGTTAAGAGCTGCTCCTGTGATAACATACACGGTATATATGTATGTGTAGCTAATTATCATGTAAACACTGGTCAAACTGGTCAAATGCAGTTTGTGGTAGAAATCCACCCCCTCCTCTTGCTCTCTCACTTTCCCTCCATCCTTCTCTTTTTTTCCCTCCTCTCTGTTTCTCTCTTATCAGCTGTCTTCTCTGTCTTTTCCTCTTCACGCTCTTAATGCTGGTTGAAGGTTTGAGAGCTAATACTGTAAATGTCAGTGGTTTTAAAGCTCTCCAGTCAACGTGTTTTCTTTTTTTTTCAAGGCGCAACAACCAAGCCTTGCCTTCAACAAATCTGTCAGCTTCAGGTTCAAGGACAGGTTTGGCTCTGTGTGTCCCAGGCCTCGTTTCTGCACGCGACTGCTGTAAACACGCCGTCCTGCTCCGACACCCTCAATGACTCAAAGCTAGATAGGTCACTTCCTCACAAATTAAATCTCTGCATCTAAGAAGACGAGTAATGGAAAAAAGTGTATGTTTCCCTCTGTAGCTTGACCGATGAGCACAGAGGGTGTATTTAAGGACCCGCTCTTGTTCTGCCTGCTAATAGAATCGCTGCTGGAGAGTCACTCTTGAATTAGCTTGGCAGGGCAGAGTGGAAAAGCCTGGTGGGACGTCGACAGGCCATATGCTCGGGAGAATTTTGCGGGTGGATGGGGTTTCAGATTTGTCCGAGTCCTGCGCAGATTTACTTGTGTGCTCTTCCTTTCCGTTGCCAGATTATCCACAGCCTCATCCAAAGTAATTCTCCTCCGTGCTCTTTAATGATTCTTCGGACATCCGTGAATGACATAGTAAAATGGAAATAGTTGTTCTGGTCAGAGAGCTGTGATGTATAAAGGATTTGACCAAAAACTATTGGAACATTTGGGCAGATCAACGTTATCTACATTTCCATCTGTTAAAAAAGCTGAAGTGATAATCATGATGAGCACATATAATCCATGAGAGCACCCAAAGGACATTTTTCATCAGATTTGGAAACGTTTGATGTGAGTAAAGTAGCAGGTTTAGTGCTTCATTTTACTTGATGGGAGCCAAAAAGGTAAAAAGAAATAACATATACATATTTAAATATATATGAAAATCCTTTTCAATATGGACTCCAGCTTGAATTTCACCTCACCATTAAAAAAAGTGATTATGAAAAAGATTAGAAAACGGATTACGAGGATCTATAGGGATTTGACATTATGTGGAAATGGATGGTCAAAACCTCCAGTCAGTGAGGACAAAAACAAATCTTAAAAATCATAGAACCAAACAAGTTCTTTTGTTTGCCTTTTTTCCTGCAAGTTGCAGCGTCATTAAAGTTTCAGCCGCTGTCATGAGCGATGATCTAGAAGCAACAGAACCGGAAGAGCTGCCAGTTTAATCTGTGGTAAATCATCCCTGTAATCTCCCTTTTATCAGATGGAACGGCTGGGTAGGGACACACAGCTCGCTCTCCAGAGATTACACCTAAACTGTTCATTCAAGCAATCCTATTCTAATGATCTAGTCATCAGGGTTACACAGCAAAAATAAGACACAAATTGTCCTCTAGTCGTTTTAAAATCTGTTAAACTGAAATTCTCCACATGCAGTATGTTTTACTTAATGCTGGAAGGATGGTTTATGGTTATACAAACTACTAAACTGGAAGAAAATGTTCAAAAGCCAAGTTAGCCAGGTCACATGGCTCATACTAATGCTAATGATGCTAATTCTATCACCTTGTTTTTCAGTGCAGTGAAATAAATCAAATAGGTCTGGTATGTCATTAAAAACATTAACCACTCCAGGATATAGGTTATGTGCTATGTGTTTCCTACATGTCAACTGAAAATGAAAAAATAACAAAATAATATCACAACACACAAACAGAAACTGAAACACAATTAACATGAGCCCAAAGTCAGGTTACAGTAACATTAAGTCTTTCTTCTTCTGAGTGTAACCAAGCAACATTCCTCTTTGCTGAACAAGATCACAAACCTGTGTGAACCACTGGCCTCGATACTGTGGGGAGGATTATGTAGCGTATGGAACAATAGCTGTGGATATGTGAGGGAAACATGTGGGCCGGATGGTGACAAATAAAAGTGGAGGAAGACAGAAGGCAGCGAGGGATGAAGCAAAGGAAAGACAGTGGAGGATGTGGGCAGGTTGAGCGCAATCCTCCACAGGAGGAAGCAAGAATGTGCTTACCCGCTCCTGAGGAGCCAGAGGATGGAAGGCAAGAAGCAAACACCTGTGTAAAGACTGAAAGCTATGACTCATTTCAGAACAGAGATTTAACAGTGTGTCTGTGGATGACACCGGTGAGAGTGAAAGCTGGGCTGCTAATGAGGATTTGGACATTCAATCACAGGCTCTGACTAGGGAAACTTGGCAGTGCCATTTTAAATGACACACTGCTGCTGCTGCTGTATTAAAAAAAGCAAACCTTCCAAAAATCAACAGATTGGAAGGCAAATTCCAACCGTGACAGAGATGACACAGAAGGCGACACATCTTCCTGACATGTATGGTTTGTGCATGATTTGTATGGATCTCCTGCTGGGGGTAGAGACAAATCTTTGGAGGCTTTGGGCAAGATAAATCCCTTTACATCTTTAGAAAGTAATCCAACAAAACTTTATAACAGTTTTGAATATCTATGTTAAATTTATCTTCTATTTCCAGAATCATCAAAGAGTCATCTGATCTGTAAAAGAAATATTCCAACCTCTGCACAATAAAAATCTCTTTGTTCATTTCCCAAGTTGCAGTTTTTTCCCCCTATCTTTATTTTAAAATCCTATATGCATTTCAAAAACTGAAAATGGGCTAAAAAAATAAAGACAAGAATAGAGGAGATGATCGTAGCTGCATGTTGTCTCATACATACAGTATAACTCTAACCTAACCCTGTTTGGCATATTTCTTGTGATTGTGGTAACTGCCTCTAGCAACTGCTAAAGTTAGCAGCACAGATAAATCTTCCAATTGGTTAGAGCAAAAAAAATAGGCTAATACCAACACAATCGTGAATTGTATAATGGAGTGAAATGGTTGTTCAGTGCATCGGGTTAAGGTCAGACTCACTCATTAACTTGGTGTGCTAATGATGTGAATATAATCACAGATAAACCTGATGGCTACAACTACAGAAGAAAAGAATAACAATCTGGAACTATCCTTTGAGAAGAACGCTGTTGAAAAATTAGAGCACAGGGAACTGGGTCTAGTGTCTTAGGTTATGTAAGCAGAATCAGGGCCAGCCATATAAGCAGCGGTTGGATGGTGGGTGCATGGAGGGATGAGAGCAGTTTGAGAATAACAGAGAGAGGCAGAATAGATGTAGTCAGAGGCAGGGTGGAAAAGCACAGAGACAGAGAACAGTGGAGATTGAGAAAACCGAAAGAGTATAATTAAGCAAAGAGGTGAGGGGCCAAGAAAAAAAAAAAAAGTGTGAGAGAGAGAGGGAGAGAAGTGAAAGAGAGAGGGACGGAGAATGTGAGAAGTGTGATATGGAGGGAGTAGGGAGGGGGTGGTAGCTGTGTTGGTGCTCGTGAGCGTGGCACCATCTTAGCAGCAGCACGAGTAATGCTGTCCTCTAATCCTTGCATTAAACCTCTGCCGATTCACTGAGGCAGATTACTGGCATTTCCCCACTATCTCCTCCTGCCCCCAGCCTGAACGATGACCCCTGCATTCCCCTGAACTTTTGTCAATTAAGGAAAAAAAAATATTTCTTCTCCTTCTCAGCTATCAATACACAAAGCTGCTGAACTGTGAATGGAAAAAAAACTGGAGGGTGGGTAGAGGTACACTAGTGCCCACGCTGAGGTTTTACATACTGCTCGCCTCTCACATCTGCCCTGGGGGTCCCCGGTCGGCTCTCCTGGCATTCAAACCGCAGTTCAACTCCTGCCTCTCCTGCTGTCTAAATATAGGGCTGATATTATTGTACAAAGAATTACCATGTACTTCAAAGTCATTCCGAACCATTATCAGAAGCCTTTGTGCCCCTGCACTCAGAGAATAGGAATTGTGGAGCAACTCTTTTCTACCTGCTGGCTGTTGACTGTGTGTGGATTGACTGTCATTTGTGACTCTGTTAGGCTATCCCAGTAAATTATTTCATAACAGATTTAGTCAGCTGATATTCTATTTTAATAAAATTTGGATAGCTACTTCCTCATCAGTCATAAGATATTTTCACTTAATGCAAGCTAAGGGTTAATCTTTAGATAATATGAACGCAGTTGCTTCTTAAAAAGACAATTCTGTAGTAAATAAATATATATTTTTTATATCTATAGTTCTTGGTGATAAAACACATGAATAATTATTACAATGTAATTTTCAATATGAGCAATACAACTAAGGTTGAATATATACTGAGATATTCCTAAGGCAGGGTGCCACAGAGGAGATAAAACACATCATTGATGACAACAATCTTCACTCAAGATCAAAAATCTGAAATAATCATTTTGCATTTATCAAGGTCATTATCGAAATCGACTAATGTAAAAATGTTCAGTTTATTTTATCTTGATATCATTTTTGGGCATATCACCCAGCCTTATGCTGGTGCATCCAGATCTCATTAACTTTAGAAGGTTGTTTTAACGTATTCTTCCGATGAATTCCAGAAATCTGAGAAACTGTTCATCTCATCGCCTTCACACTTGGCATATGTATTATTAAAGGCCCTAGTGCAGTGGTGCTTTTTGGACATGCAATGTTCTATATTGATAAACTTTAAATAAACATGGACTAGCGCTGTGTTGAAGCGGCAGCAGGGACTCAACGTAAGTGATGTTGTCGATCCTGACAACAGTGCGTTCATGAACATGGCAAAGATAACTGGTTCTTCAGTTTGGGGCTCTGTGTAATGAAAAACATCTGAGCAGCTCTGCAGCAGTGGTGGTGCAGCTTCATGGTTCTGAGTCCAGCAGCAGGTCTTAACTTACTGACAGTCAATTACTGCACGTCACTTTTACAGTTTCAGAACGAAAGCTGCAACCAGCATTAACCACAGGCAAAGCAAACAGGCAGGGTTAGAATGGGCACTGCACCAGTAGAAACTATGGTTAAGATTAACAAACCAGAGTAGTAATAAAGAATAATTGTCTGTACTGTAATCGTGTATTGTTAATTGTGTGCTGCGGACACCTCTAAAGAAACTAAAGAACCAGGTTCCCTGCAACAGTGCTTGAAGATGCAGAGGATAGGACACCACAACCTGACACAATACATATGATTCTCCTTTGGAGTGACAGAGTTTTCACTTTGGGAGAAGGTTGATAGAATCTTAACAGGCTGACAGTCCAAAACAAGATTATCAATGCTCCAGTGATTCCATTATCATTGAATCCTCTGTGTGTCCTTCCTCACCTCGGCAGGAACTTCAGTTGGGCATTAAGGCTTGATTGAGCCTGGATGAAGCCGGTCTTTGGTAAGATCTCCATGTGTTTCCTCATTTCCGGGCACACATCAAAAGTCACCTTCAACGCTGTGCTGGCTCTGAAAGGACATGGTTTCATTGGCATAAAGTGAACACATTAGGTGCATGAATCTAAGACAAAGGTGAAGTACACAGATACGATAATGCACAGGTGGTAGCACAAAGGGATTTATATACAGGGACATTGTAAAATCCAAAAGGGCAGACTTCACTTCCACCCAGTCTGTCGGGGATATGCCACAGCTCCTTTCTTGAGATGACAATACTACAGCAAGATGGTCTCTGTATTAGAGATGCAACTAATTATTACACACTCAAATATAATGTACATTCACAAAAGCTACATTTTTTACCATATGATACAGAGATTATTGAAGAGAGTCATCAAATACCTGCCATTTGTGGAAAAAGCCATTGCCAAGTAACAGCAATTGGTTAAATGATTGTTAAAACACACCCACAATTTCCAAAACAAAGACTGTATATTTAGCCATATTAAAGTGGGAATTCTGCAAAACATTCAAATATTCAAAAGGGATTTGAAAATTCAATAAAATGTATATATGATTTATTCATACATTTTCTTGTAAATGTAAACCACAACATGGTTAAACTTATAGAAAGATAATAGTTAAAATCCAAACTTTTAACCCATTTTAATTTTCAACATCCTTTGGTATGATGAGGAACCATTAGACTTATATACAGTTCCCACTGATGCAGGTTTCACCCCTGTGGTGGGGTTGATGACTTATACTGCAGCCAGCCACCACGGGGTGATCAGGACGCTTTGGCTTCACCTTTGGGCAGCTGTCATGTTGTCCATTTTTATATACAGTCAATAAAAAAAGACAAATCCCCTTTGTCTATCTGTGTACGACATGTCCATCCACTAAAATTACCTCTACAAACTAACTTTTCCCCTTTACAGATAACCTTCTTCCCTGCCTTGCACTGACATCTTGTACCCTGCAGTATAGTTGTAGCCTGAGCTGGGCCAATCAGATTGATTCTTCACAGAGAGTAGACTTTATAATGAGTTCCCTGGAAGGATCATTTGTTGACCTTCAGGTCTTTATGTCTGTAGGCAAAATCCTCTCCCCTTTAGCTCTTTGATACAAGAGAATAACTCAAAATGTATCATTGATATGCCTGTTCCCATTGATACTTGGAGCTGCAGGTTTTTATTTTTAGGCGATATAAACAAGAAAAACAACAATAAATAGATATTTTTGGTGCTTTTCCAAATGGACGTCCTCTAACAAAACCTCTTATCCCTTGAGGACTCGGCAAGGACAAACAAAAGACTTGTGTTTGAGTGACACCTACAGAAATAGCCTTGTATTGAGTGATGTATAGAACACCATGTCCGTATCACTCAGCTGACCCATTTTCCAGGAGCTCCAACAGATGGTTGCGCCTGTGGCTACGAGCCTCAGTAATAGCTGTGGTTTGTGATATAAATGGCTCCTCACCTTGGGAATTCTCCAACACATCCAACCACAGCCCACACTTACACACCTTCCTAAAACAATGACAGCACAAACACACTAAGGAAAAACTCGCTGTTCGCTGCAGGTGATGTGCATGTACAGCAATAACCTTTTGTTGTGTCTGCTCATGTCAAGAAGACGCAAAGGTAAGAAACGAGCAAACTGAGGCCACACAGGCTGAGGAACCCTTCATTTTTCAATTCCCCTCCAAACTTAAATGACCCACTTTGATGGGGGTTAAACAGATGGTTGTTTCCCTGAGGCGAAGACTCTCAGGGACACTTGGGGGATATTAGAAGCTATCTTTATTCCAGCCAAATAACAACCTTCAAATCACTCTTGGGGGGAACATTCATGAATACATAATCATTTAGGATAATTAGGAATTTTAATTAACAGGAGTATTTAGCTGATCCTGTCTTTTTTATTGGCTGCCTGTGACCAGAAACAATATTTTGTTATTTACAGATAAGTTCATGGCAGCTCACACAGTGATAATGATGAGTTAACCTTTACATAACCGTTAAAGTTTTCTTTCCCTTGTGCATTGATTTACATGATAAAACAAATTCAGGGAAGCAATGCCTGAAAGTGGTAGTTATGTTTCTAAAATTGATCCTCAAAGAACAGTTTATTATTTACTAGAACTATCGGCCAATATTTGCAGATTGGCATATATTGTTGCTTGATTTAGACCCCTATATTCAAATTCAGTAAATTCTTCTTCCAATGTGACAATGGGGAAGAACTTCACACTCAATAGCACCTTTAAGATTAATTGGAAAGCTGACTAAGAGCCAGGACCTATTGTCCAATATTAATGGCTGACCTTTGTGATACCCTTATTGCTAAATGGGAGTAAATAACGACAGTCAGGAGATCTTGTGGGAACAAGCTCCTTAAGGAGTGGAGGCTATTGCAGTTGCAGATAAATGCTTGTGAGTGCAATCTGTGCAGTCCATTGTGTTTTGGCATTTCAGCTACAACGGGTACAAATGTTTCTCTCATTTCTCACTCATCCATGTGCTGCTTCTAAAACTAACTTCCTCACAGTGCATGCACACCCTTAATATATTTTAGTCATTTTTTTCCAATTAAATAACTCTCTGGAACTTGAGCACGATGTGGTTCCCGGGCTAGTTTGAGGCACTTTAGTGTAACAGACAGTTATCTGGCTGGGAGCCGCTGCTGCATGTCATAGCCCTTCCTCTCCTCATGTTTCCTGTCTTGTACCTCTGTTGTCTGCTGAAGGCAAAACGCCTACAGATAATCTTGTCAAATATAAAAAAAGAGGAAAAAGTTTAAGGGTACTTCTCTTCAAACTATAACACAGTTTGTTCTAAAGTGAGACTAATAATTTAACAAACTCCCTGTGTAGAGACTGTATTAAGAGTTATGTGAGTAACAAGCATGAACATTATCTTTTACTGTTAACAGTCCTAAACAGCTGACACGTGTGACACTGGGCCAGGTGACTGCTCCAGCTTACTCTACATGTATACTCCAAAGCCTCATGGGATACCAAGTCTTCGTGGCAAGGGTTCTAGGCAACTGCCCCCCACAATGCAGCACTGTCAGCTTCATACTAAAATTATTCAACCAGCTGGAAGAGAAGGGTTTTTTCTATGTTCTTATCATGTATATGTTTCTATTATTCAAGCCAAAGAACACAGGACACAGGCTGGACTCAGACAAGTGCAGTGGGAATATTAGAAATGAGAAACCGAGAACAGACGGCTTTATGAAGCTGGACCCTTGTGTTTGTTTGTGGCAGTTTTGAGTTTGGGCAGGAATGCTCGACTCCCCAGCAGGTGCCCGTGGAGGAGGGTTTGAAATAAATAAATAAATAAATAATAAAAACTGTTCCCAAAAAGAATAAAAAAATCTGCCAACCGAGTTCAGAATCAGCCAATCACTGGCTCACGAGCTTAAGTCACACACTGCACATTTTAGAGCCTCTTACAAATTCTTTCAGGTAGTGGGAGTGATATTCAAATCACTGGCTCATAGACAAGAGAGACATATTCAATCATATTCATATTGCCTGTGCTGCTCTCTTAAAAAACGAAGGAGGACTGGTGGGATAGGATCTACTCATCTACTCAAAGGAAAAAGTGACAAACTGTGCAATGAAAGCAGCGGCTCTCTTATTGTTTCCCTGCCAAGTAATCTTGTGTTGGAACTACTATCTTGGAGGTGGAGTGACATACTGCATGGTTTGCTGGTGCAAGCTTCAGCATTTTTTTTTTTTCAACTTCAAAGCTGCTGTTCACACTGATGCTGTCATCGTCATGTTGTCACATGTGCTGCTTTGCCAGCGCACCAGATGGCAGTTGTCACAAAAACCCAGCCCCACGCATGTACTCCCTCCCCCACATGATGTGACACAATGACTGGCTAGGTGATGGACCACACGCCTGTAAATGCCCCCCCCCCCCCAGTGTGTTCTTAACCTCCGGTGTGCCTCCTAATACATCACATCCATAATCATAAAGGATTTACTTTTGCTCTATATGCTATTGTATGGCCCAAAGAGGATTGTGGGGATGTGGGCTTATACAGCTTAGCCCCTCACATCATCCTCTGTTCAGGAATATTTATCAGCTAATACATCTCTCTTTTATTATGTCGGCACATTTATTGAACATCTCTATACGTCACTTGGTTCCCCAGCGTACTGAGGCGGAGAGTTTTGTGCTGGCTAAAAACTAAGCTGGCCCTGTCAATTTTAAGGGATTTCCATGAGCCATTTTTCTGTGAAAATTGCTGCTTTGGCAGAGACTCAGTATGTTCGGGGAGTTTTAGCTTTGCATTCAGCAGATAAGCTGGCGTGCTAAGTCAGCAGTCCATGCTTTTCACACTCTTATTCCAAGGACGTTTTCCCTGCATGACAACAAATAAAATGGAAATATGACATGTACCACTCACTTCTGCAGGGGGTTTGAACAGCCTCTCAAATAATAACAGGATCAACTTGACTGTAGTTCATTGTAATAACTCATATAAACGACACTAATGCTGTAACGGTGTGAGTGAATTTTGGATAGTTCATTGTTAAGATTTTATTGCTTCTAATTTGTCTAATTTTATGCATGCAAGTTAAATCTGAACTATATAATGATTTTATTGAGTTAACCATTTAGATGATTGTTACAGATTGTGACGTGAGAATAAAAGACAGATGAAGAAGTTGCAACCTGCATGTAAATCTGAAGAGTTCCTATTAAACAGTCTATTAAAAACTCATGTTGAACAGCGTATAATGCAGACCTGGTGGACAGGAGCATTACAGACCATTTTTAATTTGTTTCATTGTGGATTTGTGTTCAATTATAAGAACTTGATAAATGGTATAAATAAATTATGTGTCTAATCATTTCAGAAATCTCTCTCTGCCTGTTTGTCTGTCTGTGGTTCACATATCTCAAGAAACACTTGGTATGTGTAATGTTCCAGGCCCAAGGAAGCGCAGTGTCGAATTTGGGGCGATATAGACACGTGATGCTTTCAATTTTAATCAAATTTGAATAAACAGGTGACCAGTCATCAATGTAAGTGATTTTACCGATCACGACAACAGTGTGTTCACAACAAGTGATTCTCAGGTTCAGGGTTCCGCGTACTGAGTTGAGCTTCACTGAACTTTAATGAGAACAGCTCTTTGTGCAGCAGTGGTGTTGCAGCTTCGGGGTTCTGTGCACTGAGTCCAGCAGAAGGTCTTTACTTACTCTGGCTCAATTACTGTCACTTTTACAGTTTCAGAAAGAAAACTGCAACTAGCATTAACACAGTCCAAGAAAACAGCCTATATACCAAACAAACAGGTTCAGAACAGGTACTGCAACTCATGATAAATGATATTATTAGACAAAGTACAAACTAAGAAAAAGAACATTTATGAATAACAATGGTTAGGTAAAGTACTGTTGCTGTCATATATGCAGACCTCTGTCTGCTGGTATATTGGACTTTTCATGAAGCAAAAGTTTCTATTGATAAAAACATTATACAGCACTCTCAACACAAGCACTTTTTGAGGTTCATATTCTCGTAGTTTCTGACTTCTCCCCCGAGATGTATTAGTTCAAGACAGTCCACAGTAATTTTCATCTATCCCTCCTAATGAGCTTGGATTAATGAGTGCTTTTCCGCTTTGCCAAAGCAATTCATTTTATTTGGCATGTGCAGTCATGACTTTCCAGACAGTTCTCTTTGCCACATTATACATTTTAGTGACTGGGTGCTTCCACCAATTTTCACAGCCATCATTTGCCTTAGGTTGACTTGACAAAACATATAAAAGTGGTGATTATCATAATGACATTTTTGACGAAAACTCAACTTTCCAATGTAGCTGCATTTCCATGTGCACATTAGATGAAAACGCTGTAGCAGTTGATTTCCCCCCACAGGTATACAATATATGATAAAAATGCACAGATTGTATACAAAATATTTTACCTGGAGACTTAGAACTTCAGAGAGGTCTGAATCGAAACTGTGGTGGGAACATTTTGATATCATTTAAGTAAACTGCTCAGTAAAGGCTACAGCTGGTAAGGCTGGGGAGTACTGTGCTGTTTCCTTTGAGAATAGACTCTATGTGTGTATTTGTGTGTGTGTGTGTGTGTGTGTTTGAGGACCATCTGCTCAAACTGTACATGAAAACACAGTTCACCCTGAACTGGCATAAACACTGGAACTGGTTTCAAAGACAGAACGTTATTTCATGGGCAAGTTAGTTTCCTAATAATTTCCTTAAGAGGAACATTTACAGGGTTATGTCTTAGAGAGGTTGTTTGGGTACAGCTGAGCTGAACATGAAAAATATAACGTTTTCTTCTATACAGCACTTATAAAACTCTGTTACCAGGTAACTAGGTAACTCACTAAGAGAATAGATCCCAATTTCTTTATAATTAACAACAAGTTAAAGACCTTGTATAAAAAATGTCTTGAAACTGACAGAAATTGTATCAAATTTTCAGAAAATAACCATGAAACTATGGGTCCAGTTAAATGAAGGGCTTCCCTGAGGACTAATCTTCCATGTCAACTGGACTTATACACAACAGATACTTACAATTTGATATCGCCAGTGATGCAGGCACATCGACTTGAAAACAAGTACAATACAACTGAGCTTCTTCACACATTATTTTCTTCTTCCTCTTTTAAGCGGAAGGTGATTGTTTAAAGTGACACCAATGTGGTGTTAGATGACATCTTACTTTCCTTAATTTGGGTGTTTCATGTTTATGTTCATGGAAAAGACAAGTGTGGAGCAAACATTTCAATTTAAAGAATTAAACAGCTCACAACAGCACAACTACTTTTACTGCATTAGAGGAAATGTATTTAGTGTATATTTAGTATGACAGAAAATTGAGACAGTTAATGGTCTTTTAGATTGTATTTTCTGTGGCCTAATTTACTCCAAGCTTTTAAGACAAAACAATAAACGTATTATTACGTGAATATGTTATTTATACATTTGCCTCGAAGACTGTTAGAACAGACTTTAGTCAATCACATAATCAGTGTATCATCATTATGCCACAATGTGTTTTCATTGCAAACTGTGCAAGTCACATAAATAATTTTTTAAATGCCACAGTTCAGACTATTAAAAAACATCATAGAGTCAAGATTAGTATGAGCTATATTTATAGATATATTTATAAAGATATCAGCCAGCTGAGGCTTTGGATCCTACCTGCTGTGGACCACAACAGTGTCTTGATAGAGGCGGTCGAACATGCAGATCTTCAGATCAACAGTGGGCTGAACCACCCAAACAGGGATGCTGACTGCAATACCCCTCACATAGATAGGTATCTGTTTCAACCAACATACGTATCATCAATCACAAATGATTTACATTAAATAACATTATTTATGGCTCCATTAACTGTCATGTGCATGTGATAAACGTGTCTTACTGGTTTGCTGGATTGGTTGGAGAACTTGATGTGGAAATCTAGTTTGGCCTCTCCTGGAACAGTTGGAGTGAAAACAACCTCTAGTTTGATGCTTTCAAAAGGTCCAATCTCCCCCTCTCTAACCTAAAGGCATGAACAACACAGAACAAGCAAACATTTGACACTTAATTCACTCAGATATATAACTTCAAATGGAATGTCTACTACAGTGAATGGTAGAGTAGGTTATTCACTCCTGGCATAAAGATAGTGAGAGGAATAATACAAAACAAAAGAGAAGAGAACGTCATGCAGCCACTAACTGAGCGGAACCACCATAGCTTGATGGATAATCCACCATTCAAGACACCAGCCTACAAGCACACAATGTGAAAGTATCAGTCAAAATGACATCGATCAAGCCGTGGGCATGCTGGCTCATGCAATACACACGACCGTAACAAGCGCAGAAGGAGAGGCAATGCACCATTAGCCCCCCGCCAGAGACGTAATGAACCCTGAACAACTCCAGAACTTCAGATTGGCCACGAGGCACACACAGCATCAGTGATAAAAACAGAGGGAGGCAGTGTCTTCAACGGACAGAGATAATTGTCTTATCAGAGACAGAGCAGGTGTCTCTCTGCAAATCCAGTTACGCAGGGTCACGTCCATGGATCAATTCACTGATCGGTGGTTCTGGTTTGAACTTGTCGACCAGATTGGGCCTTTCAGTGTCTGTGTGACTTTTCTCCAGTTATTGCAGATTTATCTGACAGTCAATTGTTAATTTGGGAAAGACCGTAAGTGTGAATATGAGGGTGAAGGGTTGTTTGTCCCTGTGTGTCGGCCTTTTGATAGACTGGTGACCTGTCCAGGGTGTAAGGGCTCAAGTTCCCTGTGACCCTCACATGATAAGCAATGTAGAAAATGGCTGAAATTAATACATTTAATTCCAACAGCTGCACGGCTGGTGATGTTGGTTGATCAGTCATTGATCAACATGATGATCCTAAGGACATCCCCATAATTGCAGATACGCCAACATCACTTCAGAAATCTCCATTCATCTACACTTGGGTCCACATGTATCTCAACAAGTGTGACAGTCTACAGTTCTGCAAGCAGCTCTGTTAGGTTGTAAGGCTAATGCCAGCATGCTAACATGCTTTAGTTAAAGAGGTATAATGTTTACTATGTTTAACCTCTTAGGTTAGCATATTAACTAGCTCTAAACACAAGCAACAAATGAGACCTGATATCATCAGGTCTGTAGTTATTGTATGTCGTTATAAAATCTAAATATATGGCAATAATAATTGTGTGCTGCTGTTGGCATTTAAGGGAAGGTCTGGGGATAATGTCACTCACAGATTCATCCTCTGGGGTTCGCAAATGTCTGCAGCAGTTATGATTTCAAAATGTTGCCACTGTATAGGGATGCCTTGTTACAGCACTCTATCCCACGAAATTTCATAGCATCTAATAGTTATCAAGAAAATTCGATCAGGAAGTGGTGAACCAACCAACACACAAATCAACACTCCGATACAGCCATCCCTCGAGCCATGCTGCTAGCATGGCTGCTTTGCACTCCACTGGCCTGATATAGGCTACAGGTGAATCATATGATAATTTTACTCTAAAGGAAGCTCATAAACCAACTACTATTTTTTTTAATGAAATAAAGTTCTTTACTAGCTTTAAACATACAGTATACTAACACTGAATGTATCATTGCAGCTGAAATCAGCAGTGTTGCTATAAGACATAGCTGAGTATTCACAGTATGACTTAACACTTACATTTCCCGGACTTATGTCACTGGTGTCTTCGGGGCACTCGTCTACCTGGGGTTCTGCATTAGTGGACACACACGCCTCAGGAATAGCCCTGCCAACTCACCAAATGCAACACAAAGAAAGTTAGGTCAATCCTCTGGATTGAAAACACATTTATATGCAGAAGAAAAATTCAACCTGACGGTGGCACTGGTAGGAGCTCATAAGGCTCATAATAATCAGAAGTCTTTTCCTTGTGGCATTTTGAGAGCCACACATCCAATAGTTTGTAAGTATGAGAGAGGGAAGAGCAGATATCCCGTCAGAAAACTGACAGTTGGGTCAAGAACTATTATGAGCATGAAGCAGAACATTACATTTATCTATAGATAATTGCATATACTGTAAGATTCAGTCAAAAAAATAACATCAGCAGCCTGAAAATTTGGCCAAGAACACCATCTCTAAACGGTTGCAGATGAAAAATCGAGCAGAGCCACTTTAACACAGTTTTTTTCCAAAGCTAGCAGAGCAGAAGTAAAAGACTGAACGGCTTATCACAGCATCAGTGGCGGAAAGTGCTGAATACAGCGATGAAGACTTTAGATCGGAGGGAACATAAAGAGAAACATTCTCCTTGTCACCAGCTGTGAGAGCAAGGTGAACCCACAGCTTTGTGTGTGTGTGTGTGTGTTCTTTTGCTTCCCTCCTTACAAGAACCAAATGTCCCAACAACAATAGAAAGATAAGGAAAATCTGATACATGAGTAGATTTTTTTTCAGTCCTCACTTGGACTGTTTATAAATTATGTTCAAATTGCAATTAATCTGCAGCCACAGCAGTACTTTGCATTTCATGTAAATGCCAACATGTTAAGATGGTCACAATGAAAATGATAAATTGTTGATATTTTATATGCATAATATTCACCATCTTGTTTTAGCAACACAGTTACAACAGAGGCTGATGGAATTTGACTACAAACCAAAGCATTAGACAAATATAACTTTTAAAGTGATGACATTAAATGATGTTTGGTTTGGTGAAGATAAAGTTACAGAATCACAAATATAAAGGGAGGGATCATGATGGGAACATGAATATCTGGACCAGATTTCATGACAATCCATTCAATGGTTGTTGAGACATTTTGCTTAAAACCAAACTCAAACCTAGTTCAGACTTGGACAATTTGACCTGACTGTGCCATTGATTTTCATGTTTTACAAGCAGGTAAAAATGCCCGAATAGACTGTACCAAATTTGTTAGTACTAGATACGTTCATAGGGGTTGGAACTTAAAGATGTAAGTACAGGTTCAGGTCCATGCAGAACTCTAGTTCAGGTATAAACTGGTGTTAGATAATGTTTCATTAAATTTGTATAATACCTTCATCTGGTTTCTCTTGCTGTGATGCCTCACAGAGCTCCTGACTCTCTTGCTTTGTTTGGATTTCTTCAGAGCTCTTTTGAATGCCACATGTTGTATTTTGACTGCTTGTCTCCTGTCAGCCAACAACACAGCACATTATTTATATTCCATACTGTGACAGTTTATTCAAGATGACTCTCTTACGACATGGTAATGTGAACTGACTGTAGTCATTCTGTGTGGTGTGAATTCCCTCACTTTAAATTCCCTGATTTTCATATGTAGTGGCAATGACATTTACTCCATTAGTTCATCAAAGAAACAGAAACTGTTTAGATCCCAATCGACAGTCTGACCTGGCATGTGTGGGCATGTGAGACCTGTGATGGCATCTGGACATGGTGAGATTCTGGACTGAGCCATGTGGAGGTGTCCAGGCTGAAGAGTGTGGCCAGAGCTCCCTTGTTGGTCAAGGTGATAGTCCGTGAAATAGTCTGGCCCACCACGTGTGAACCAAAGTCCACTAACTCACTGTCAACCACCAGCTATAGAGAGAGAGTATTTCCATGTAATTAATCATTCATCATGTTAATAATAATGATAAAAAGTGATGAGCTGGGAGTTATAGAAAATACAATTAAATAAAAAGTCACAGTAGAAAAGTCATCAGCATTCGATAATGAATAATCCTTATTCCTCTTATTGGATATTGGATCCTGCATTGTCAGCAACCTAAAAATCTAACTATACAGGCCAAAAAAGCCATGTTACAAAACATTAACATGGATAAATATAAAGCTAGAAAGACCATTCCCTTTAAAAGCACAAGAAGGATTTGAGAACATAGCAGGGCAAGAAGATTACACTGATAGTCATATGTCACGTTCAGTAATGTTCTCTAATCATCTGTAGGTTGGCTACAGCACACAACTCACCTCACATTTCTTTATGGTGCACCTGACAGGCACAGAGAAGGGACCCGCCGCTGAAGAAAAATGGACGTCTCCTTCCAGGTCCTCGTTGATCTGCAGGGATCAGATAAAGGGAAAAATGTGTCGCTTTATAACAGCATTGGCTACCTGACATTTAGTTCAGAATAAAGGCCTGATTCTAGATTAAATGTCAGACATTTGATCCTCAAACAAACGAGTAGAATGGCAGTGGGCAGACAGTGGAAATGTGCGAGGACTTGGATAATAAGAATCAAATGTAAGCTGTCTGCACAAATCTATTGTTCATATGGAACTTCATTCCCTCGAAAAATACCACTGAGGACATTTTTCACAAGGACACAGATATGTAGTCAAACTAGATTATCATTGCTTGTCTTCTTTGTTATATAACTCTTGTTACACTCAGGTTCGACAAAATGCTGATATGCAGATACAAATTGCACATTCCTGAATGCTCGAAAAGGCACTGAAGGAAAACCACTGAAGGAAAAATGACAGATATGAGCCTGAATGTAAAAGCATGTGGTTTACTGTGGTGATCATGTGACTAACCATAGGTTGGAAAACAGCCTGCACGTCACAGGACATCCCGGCAGGTAAAGAACCTGGAGGCTCAAAGCTGAAACCCAAAACACAGGGAATTATGAATACCAGTGCTAAAACCAGTTTAAACCAGCTTGTCAATGTTTTTCATGAAATTAAGTGATTTTACTTTATCACTGTTCATGTGTTTGGTTTATATCCAAGTTTTAATGATTTACTTAACTGCTGTTATTTTTGATACATTGCATTTCGCTATTTCACAGGTTTGTTAAGCACGTAACACAATTTTCAGACCCAGCTTCACAACTTTTCGAAATAAAAGCTTTAAAATTCCGCTCGATACAACTAAATGAACATTGTACGTTCACTTTGAAAACAAATTGCTAAACAGATAATTATCCTATATGTTGTTACCATGACAGAGATCAGTGTCTGTGTCAGTCTGATATGGTGAAATAAAAATAAGGAAACTATCAAAATGATCTTGTGGCGATTTAGAACTGCAGTTCGAGACAGTTGCTGACCACTGCTGTGGTTTATCTGAGGATGCAGAGGAAGAAATGTTAGACTCAGTGTGTCTCTGAGGGCACACTACCCTGCCCCCACTGACAGCAACTGAGTGCTGTTTGTTTAAATTGTATTAAAATTGAACATATTGGGTTTCCAATTTGCACCTCCGAGGGCAGTTTACAATACACACACCAAGTGTAAAGCTGATTAGATGATCTGTTCGTGAGATATTCCTTCCACATGCAGACAGACAGACATTTGTGGAAACAGTTGGTGAATGACAATTTGCATTTCAAACTGCTGCCAGGTTCTATGGCACAAAGACAAAAGTAGCACTGCTCAGAGTAAAATACTAATAGACTGACTGCAATGATTGCAAAAAAGTCAGTGAGTGTATGTGAGACCTCATGTCTAGAGGAATAACATTGAACTTAAAGGAAGCATTTTAATTTTAGAGCATCTCAAACTGTACATGCCTCTGCCTCTACACTGCGTTCAACAAAAGATCGAAATGAAGGAAGCATGATCAATCTCAGAGAAGAGGAGATAAAAAGTCAAAAGTCAACTTGATGCTCAGGCGCAGAAAAGAAAGAGCTGTTGTTCCACTTAAAAACACTGCAGTGTGTAATAGAATGGTCTGGTGATATTTCACAGCCCTGTAGTCTTATTATATCGCACTGCATATTCAACCAGAATCCTCCAGTTTATTTCCACATGAGAAAGAGAAACATGAGGACTGTGAGCTACATTTCAAAGCAACATGTGTATCTTACAGCACATATTGCTTCCTCTCTTGATGCTGCCCCGAGGAGCTTGATAACTTGCCGCTCTTCCACAGACACAAGAAGAGGGTCGATAAATATGAATATGGCAGGCAGCCAGCCAGAGAAGCAAGGGAGATTCTAAAAATCCAATACATAAACAAAAAGACATGCAGCCACAGGCAATCAGCAAGAAGCAGCAACACTTACAACATACTGTAACTAGTTTTTTATTAGATCTTGTTAATGTTATCATTCTTTTACAAAGTAAGAAATGCTTAAATCAAAGTGCAATCGTGCGGGAGCTGGTTTTCATGCTTAGATAATGAGATATCTTATGAGTAAAGCTGACAATGTTTGGCCTGAGGGTGGCACAAAACAAAAGTTCAGTTTTCCCCTTGTATCACTTTTTTTTCAGCTTCTTTAACTCAGTGAAGAAGAAGACTGGGATAACATGGTTTTCTCTCTCTGTCTGACGAGCTCCAGTTGGTTGCAAAAGTGAAAAAAAAAAAACTGCAGAAATTGACAGTGTGTCTCCATAGCAACGGCAGTTTTTCAATGTCAGTCAAACACTAACATGGGAAGCGTCTCCCCAAGAGGCCTGAAGCTGACACTGTTTGCAGAGATGTGCCCAAAAAAACAATTTCACCCTGACCTGAAAAACCAGAAAAAGATGGAAAAGAGCTGCAGTTTGATACATTACAAGTTCAAATTTGTGTACAGCCACAAAACATCTGTTACCAACTCTTTTATAAATGAGCTGCAATTGTATTTGTTTTGCTTTAAATGATCAATAAAAAATTATTTCCGCCTTTTCACAGGTTTCCATTTCCAAATAATGCAACTGAGACGTGACTCAGCTGTGTAAAGTAGATATGAAGTGTTGGTTTCTGCAGCTACGAGCTACTCAGGCAAAAATATTACACTTAACTGGACATTTACATGACATAGATGTTTGATGAAAAGATGTAGAGATAAGCCAGTAGCTTGAAGTTGATGGTCCAGCTCATACACTGAATATAAAACGGTCCAGCTGTCAGGTAAAGTTCACCACTGTGACCTGGAAGCGTATAAAAGTGTTGAGTAAATCTGTTGATAATATAATGTCATATTGTGCTTTTCATTTTTTTTCTGGCTAATTCCCTTCCTTATTAGTGTCATTCTTCTTTCCCAGTGACTAGATACAGTAGGTGATCTGAAAAGATGTGAAGTGAAATAGAACAGTTCACTTGGGATGCAACGCTGAGTGAGGCAGAGTTTGAAAAAGTCTGCTACAGCAGCCCTACATAAAAAGCTGCAAATGAGGCCATTCTGTGCATCATATCGATTGCAGTACACCGCAGCAATGAAGCTGAGACCATGTACAGTATCAGTATCAGTGATGGTCCGTGTGTTCTGTTATACATTCTGGATGCTCCCCATTGGCATCTCCTAAAGTAAATCAATAAGTATCTTTAGTTTGTTATTCAGTTCAACTGAGCTAAAACACCCTCACGCCCCCGAGAGCAATGTACAGTGAATCACAACTCTGACAATGAGTGCGAACATTACTTGTATTATCTTGCTGTTGTGGTTATTATTATTATTTATAAGTGAAAACCTGTTTTGTTAACAAGTTTATAAGGGCAGCTCTATTGGATGCAAATCTTTTGTTTGGATGTTGGGGTGGGTGAGAATTATCATATTGAATTGCCCCAAAACCAAAAAGAAACTGCTTGATATTTTCTAATGGATAGTTTTCTATCAGAAACTTGAACGCAGTATAGCCCATACCTCTGCCTCGGCCCAACAGTTCCCTTAAATTCAATCAAGCAGCACCATCTATAGATATCAGGTCCCTAAATGTGCCTGATTTGTTTTTATCAAGCTCCATGAAAATGTTGAAAATCTCTTGCAATTTATAAGAAAGTGGAAATAAAATCCATTGAATGGGTTTTTCCCTGACATTTTTTTGGTAAAGTCTTGCTTGCAAACAAACAAACCAACACACAAACAAACAAACAAACAAACAGATGAGGGCTTTCAGCAGTTTTGACTGGTGCCCATATTAAATTATTCTTTTTCGGAGTATTGGACAGACTACCAGAGAAGATGAATAAAACAAGCTCTGTTAAGTGCAGCATGGTTTTCTTGTGTCAGAAAACCATTTTACTTTGACAGATTTTAAGCTCTTAAGAAAATGGAAATGCCTTTTCCAGCTGTCTTTAGCTGCAACAGGATCATAATACTTGTATGGCTGTCATTTCTATTTCACAGTCACAAAGTCAAACTTTGAAGATGGTTCAAGTAAGATGAGATTTGAGGTGGCATACAGACCGAAAGTGGGAGAGCATGCAGTGTAGAATAAAGCAAGCACAGGAAGCTCGAGTGCGTTCTCAAATCCAGAGACATATTTCCGATTGTGGGATTATAACAGTTGCCATTGCTAACTCTCAATTTTTGTTCATGAACATTTTTCATTTATGGTCTTTGCACAACATTTCTTGGCAACTGTTAAATAGATGACAGTGAAAGTTGGTGCAGACATTAATTGATGAATGAATTGCAATTACCTAATCATGAAGAGCCATCATCAAGTCAAAATTCAAATTTGGGGAAATCTAAACTCTGGCATGTATTACACTGTATTAGCATGCTGGTGTTAGCATTTGTTCAACAGTAAACCCTAAGAACAGGCCTTAGTCCAGCCTCACAAAGCTGCTAGTATGGCATAAAACCTCTGTCTTGTAGTTTTCTGTCCCAGGCTTTGGAGCACCTGGGATCTGTGTCTCCATTAACTTGTGGTGATGGAAACCATACTTAAATCATTAATTAACTCTTAACTGAAAAAATGTGTAAAAACACAAAAACGTATCCAGATAGACAGTTCCTATCCCCTCTTCAGTCATGTTGAGCATTTGAGTCCCTCTGGCAGCTAAAATGATGTTCAAATAGTCCTTTATTCCACGTGTTATGAACCATTTGGAGGTTTGTTTATTGATTTATGTTAGAGTTAAGGTGTGGAGCAAAGTGGTAGGTAAAGACTGACACTCCACACAGAACCTGGGGTCAACTCGGTTTTTCCTGGACATTTGACACACCTGGTGGCAGCCCACACCAGAGAGACCAAGGAGCACAACAGTAGTTGACGGCGCATGGCGACCCAACAGACCTCAAGTCAAGACACGACTCTGGAGACAGTAACCCAGAGCACGGACTCTTTTCCACTTCACTACTTCCCCATCACTTCTGAACTGAAACCATAGGACAGCAACTGCTTTGGCTGACCTCAGAGCCTGGTGTGGCTAGAGGGGACACCCAACAGACTGCGTTGTGGTTCACAGGCTGCTGGTGGAAGACATTGTGGAGGTCGGCTGAAAATAGTGAGTAATCCATAACCTCCCTAGTCAGATAGTCTACCTGTACATTAGAAAGTAAGACATACAATTCGAGTAAACTGCATACACAGAGGTGACTGAATTAAATGTTATCGGGTGAATGTGAAGGAGCCTGGAATGTAGCGAGCCATTTCCATTCATCTCGTAACACAAGTGTCAAAGGTATTAACTCAACAAAACCACATCCGATTCCCAGATAGGCTAAGACAAGAGCTCATTTTGTGTGCAATACAATCTTGTGTATATGCATGTTTGACTAATTGCCTGTTGTTTTTATGTTCTATTCTATTGTAAACCAAACACTGCATCTTGTCCTTGCACCATTTTGGACCAAGTTAAAAATCTGTTGATGTGATGTGTGACTACCCCCATTTTTACTATAGTCTCAGGCTTTACCTCGCAGCTCATCTCAGGAACATACATACCACAGAGGGGTATCTTCCTGTCATGTGCAATATAATGTGAGAAAGTGATATTGCAAAAACACAGCTTCTATATGGCTTTTTACCAAGTCTGGGGAGCCTAGGCTGTTGTGGTTTTTGTCCCAGTAGTGAAAAGATACAGCAGAGCCCATTCTGGCACAAAAGCGCCTACGCTGGGAGGGGTAGCAGGATGGAAAACCATTTTTAGAAACTCAGGGGGCGTACAGGGAACCATGTGTTGGTGTGAAAAAGCCCAGTGTGTTATTGGTTCACGTTACTCTCTCCTGCTGTGTTTGATGTTTAATGTTTTTAGCTGGCTGAGCCACAGAGGCTTTGGTCACGACTGATCTCAATATTGTAGGTTTTTTAACGTGTGAATAACCAGCAGGTTTTACACACGGCAGACACTGAGTCCTAAAAGGAGAGTGTGTGGACGGTACAGTGGCAGAAACAGGTGCATCTGTCAGCATGTGTAAAGCATAAATCACTTTTACAATTTGATATTTCCTTTCACTAAATTAGATTATTCCTACACTGCTTTGCCAATGATGCTGTTGCAATTTAAATTACATTGTTAACAATTTAATTATATTTAATTTACTGTACCTTGTTTTTCTTTTACTTATAAGTAGAAGGGGGCCTGTTGGCTCTTTCTTAGCTAATGGGAATGTGATTTTAGTTTCAGGTGATTAAATATCAATGAAAACATACTTATTACCTTTCTGCCAGCCTAACTCCTGATTCTTTAAAGAGTATACAAATCATATAAAATCAGTGGGGGCATAGGATGTTTATTTCATCTCACCTATAGGAGGGCTGCATAGTAGCAGTGTGCTCTGTGTTTCCACTGGGGGCTTTCATCATCTTTACATAAAACACACTGCTACTATGCAGGTTTCATGTTGTGCATGAGAAAGAAACCCTGCACCATATATGATTTGACATGATTTCTTCTGACTGAAGGTAGGGTTGGTAAGTTGTTTCCAAAATACTTTTTATCTTATTTGTTCTCTCTCTTCATGTTCTGCTACCCATTAATAAATAATGTGACTTTTGGAATTTTCCTGCGGGGATTAATAAAGTATTTCTGATGCTGATTCTGATAAAATTGTCTGAAAAAAAAGTCAGTGGCCCTCACAGGACTGGCATCTTCAGCTGAAGAGACATACATCGCTGAAGCAGGGACGCTAGTCCGAAGTTAGCAAGCGAGTCAGTTTTGCAGGCAGTGCCCCATTCATGTGGGCGTAGCTTTGACAAGAGGGCTGATGGGAGGTGGTGGGATGTAACAGTTGCATTTTATCTGTGAAGTGTCCTCTTGCTTTTTTCCCGAGGATTACCAACCCTAGCTTTAAATAAACAACTTTCCTTGTCGTCATGTTGATTGTTTTTGTTGTTATAGATGTGTTTGTTGGTTTTGTTCCCCACATTATTAATCATAAAAGCAATCGCCAACCATATGGCAAGTTCAGATTTACCAGTCTACCGTGTAATGAGACGCTAAAATGTCCAAGTTTTGAGAGACAACCATTCAACAGTATGATTAATAGTGTCATGATGGTTGATCAGGACTAGCCAGCATTAAGCTCTGGTCATACCAGACCATGTACCAGTAAAACTTAGGACTACATTGAACAGAGAAACTGTGTGTTTTATAGGTTTGGAACTGAACTAGACCATAAAAGAAAAATCAAACATTGCAGAACGCTGCAGCCAGTGGCTCTAGATCATCTTCAATTGTGTCCTACGTTCAAAAATGGGACAGTGTTACGTTTAAAAAGGCATAGAGGTAATGATATCTGATCTACTGCATACAAGCCAGTAGCTTTACTGTACCTTTAGCCTCAGCGTACCATCCGCTAATTGTATTTGGTAACTTAAATTGTGCAGGAGACCTTCAAATGTACAAGGGATATTCACCATCTTGTCCTATATTCTAAAATAAATTGTTAAGTTACACAGCTGCACTGTAAATATCCTATCCTCCATATTTGTGGCAGTGAATAATGAGTCGAGGGAAAACAGGTGCAGCAGGACACCAAATAACTTTCATGATGAAATAAGATTTTTTTCAACCTTGTACTAATCAATGTGGAAAAAGCCGAAAGCACCTGTTGTTTTTTATCTTCAGATTGATTTGAATAATATGATATTGAATTGAGTCTCAGACCAGTGTAACTACAGAAAAAATATACATAATCTTGACTGTGCTGTGTTTCAGTGACATGAAAGAGAGATACAACGGCGTGAGAGGGTATAATGTGCATGACACAGTATGTGTGCATTCACCCGTTGGTATGGAAGTGCGTGTTTGCTACATGTGAGTTAAGAATAGTGGCTAGAAGGTGATATGTTCAGACATGTAGTCCAGCACGAAGGCTCAAGAACAGCATCAGTATTTTCCCACTGCCCCTGCTGTAGCCTGGGAGACGGTTCACTCAGTCAGGCAGAAAGAAGAGCGATGAAGAAAAAAACCCATCAAGTCATGGGGAAGCTGATGAGGAGGTGCTACACAGTGAGTGACCCGGAAAACAGTTCATCTCTGCTCGGCCTGTAGGCTGCTAGCAGGCTGAGAGTGAGGAGATGTAGCAGAGACGTAGTCTGACTCACAGAGCTCAGGAGAGAAGATGTGAGCGTGGTGATCTAAGCTGGCGCCCATATGTGGGAGGACAAGCTCTGCTTCACATCCACTCCATCTTTTTAAATGACAATAAGTGGCTGTATTAAATTCCTAAGTGGTGATACACAAGCGGGCGTTTCCATGTGATAACTGAAGCAGTTGAATATCACAGTGGCTTCATGGTAGCTTTAACATTTGTTGCGGTAAACATGCGTAGCTCAAGTGTTGTCTTACCAGAAGAGGAATGTGCTTGCAAAAATGTATGACCTGGGAGCAAGAGGCAAAGCTTTTTCTGAGTTCATTCTGTTCCGGAGCAGCAGTTTGTGACTGAGACAGAGGCTGTGCACAATTTGACAACAAAAGCTGCTTTCATACACGCGCCGCAAACCTGAACTTTTCCTGATATTATGAGTGTGATGATGTGTGAAGACCAATGTTCAAATCAGTTGAACCAGACATCAAACTGACTTTACACAGCCAGCTCCCCAGCACAAAAGTCTGTGTGGTGTCCAACTGAGTCGATGTGCAAACAACATGCACACAGAGCTGAAACTGGGCGTCATGAATTTACCAATTAACATATTGCAGTTCCACAAACGTTTATTCACATTGACCTTACACTGTCCAGCCATATACTCAATTTGTCTTGTCGAACTTGCCTTTTAATAGATTAGTTTACTGTCAGTGGAGCATTAATGTAATAATAGACAGAGAAGAGAAAAGTAAAAGAACTAAAACGTGACAGGCCCACTGATACTACAAAAGGCAATGTGACTGTTTTTTGGCAAACTGCCCACAGAGTCAATGTACTTAATGTCTTACTTGATAGAGATAGAATCCTTCAGCTGAGCAGAGACCCCGACGAGCTTGCAGTGGTTCGTGATGTAGCTGGTGTTAGTCAGAACAATTTTCTTCTTATATATTTTCTGCACTTCAAAGTCCTACAAAAGACAATTTAAAATATTCTAAATCATTATTTTGCCTTTACAATACACCAACCTAAGCTAAATAACCAAAACTTGACTGTTAACATAGTTTTAAGTGGAAAACGTGCACATAACACCTACATCTATTTCATCAGAATTCCTCTGTTATATTCTGAAGTCAGAAGTGATGCTTTTAAAAAAAAAGCCCTTAGTGTGATACCTTGAAGAGGAGGACCTCTGGTTTGCTGATGAATGGAGGCCCTTTCAATTCTTTTCCATGAACTTTTTTAACAGGCACGTTGAGCTTTCCACTGGTCAGTGCAGCTTCTTCCTGCTTTACTTCCGTTTGCACCAGTGTTGTCTTCAAATTGAGGGGTGACTGTAACCACACAGAGGAGCAACGGCAATAACAATCGTTATAATGAAACTGCAGAATTCATGGCTCTTATATAAATACAGCACTAAAATGCCAAAAATATTAAGGATACCAGTGGTCCTCTGAATAACAAGGCTATTATGTGAGTAAGAACTGTGTGTAATATTCTATAAGATGAAAAACAATCATGTAATAAACCGAGGAGTCTTAGTTGACCATTATATAATAGTAGGAGACCATTTTATTGCTTTACATGTGTATGAACATGTAGATTCATCTTTTACTTAATTTAATTAATTTTAAACTTTTTTCCAATGTCAAAGTCAATGACCATCATCCAAAACTATTATGTTGTATCAGTTTTATCAATGTCTTATCTGATCTGTATTCCTTGTATTATTGGCTAATATTAGCCCTTTGTAGATATAATTGCATTTGCACAGATGTTAGCAATGCTTGTTTGTCTGTGTATGTTGGCCACTAGTGACCTGTCCAGGGTGCACCCCTCCTCTTAACCAACGTCAGCAGCAACTGGCTCCAGTCCCCTTGAGACCCTCAAAAGGATAAGCTCTTTAGATAATAGATGGATAAATGTTAGCTATTAAGTAAAAACAATGACTAACTGATCGATAGATTTTTTTTTACTCTGACAAAGAATATACAGCACATCATGCTGTCAGACAGTGTAGAATAAAAAATGTAAAGATTACATCTACTGAGGAAAAGTGTGCTACCTGTCAGCAGCTACATGTGAAACTATGTTTTTAAAGGTCCTATTTTACTTTTTATGGTTTTGTCATTTTACCTCTGCTCTATTTCTTCCTGTGTTGTAGAGCACTTGAAGTGAATGAATCATCTTATTAGCTTCGTTACGTCGCTGTGCTCATGTGGCCATTACTGTGTCGAGAAGTAGCCTTTTGATGAGAGCATTAGTACGATCTGTATGTTAGGAGGCAAGATCACTTCCACTCGACTTGTCACTCGCTCAGAGCTCTGAGCTGTAACACCGCCGCTCGCTCTGAGGCCTCAAAGGCCACCAGCACAATCCAAAGTGATGCCTGTCGCCTCACATTTCAAGGGTGTAGAGGGGCTGGATGAGACAACAGAGCTGACTCACCTCAATGGAAGGGAGCAACAGACACTCCGGCCTCGATCAAAAACTACCAGGAAATAGCCCTTCAGCAATGCATGTGATTGATGTGATAGAGTAGATCTAAATAATACTCACTTGTTGGCCACAGAAAACTTTTACCCTTACTACACTTCTGGGGAAATATTTGGATTTGTCTAGTCTACAGTTTTTCTAAGACTGAATTAGAAAATCTGTGCTTGTTGCCTGCAGGCACTTAGTGTATAGTTTGCTAACATGTTTGAATTAAGGAAAAGATGTGTGATGATTCTATTGTAACAAGAAAACATTGTTGATCAATAACTGTTTTTAATTTTGAAATAAAACATTTTGATATGTGTGTTATAGACGAGATTTTTCTTATAGATGATGTTCTTGATTGGTGATTTGAGGAGCTGGAAGCAGGGAATATTGGATAATAAAGTTTTTTTACTTGGTTAAAGACAAAATATAGTCAATAGAACATTAAACTGATGACTACAATTGTTGCCAGGGTTGATTGACAAACAATAAAATTGACTAGTTGTTTCAGTATAAATCAGAGGCATTTGAAATGCAAATCTTTCTTAATTCAAACAGTTTTGGAACAACAGAATAAATGGTACCAGCCCAAACACTCCCTGATTCCCTCAGCACTGTGGTCTGATTGAAGACCTGGCCGAGATTTAGACAGATTTGTGTTTCCTCTGTGACACATGGTGTCATGTTTTCACTTTCCACCGGCCAGCGATGCGCTTCACCGTGACCATGTACATGATCAACCCCTCAAGATCCCATCCACCCTGCATGCATATCACCCCACCGTCCACTAGTAAGGCAGGAACATTAACATGATTCCTCACTGGCCTCACATCTGCAATCTCTGAAAGTTAACAAGTAGCACAGCCGTAAAGGAAATGATATGCCTGCAGTGAATGGGACATGATTTATGAGTGTTTCATTGTAGCAACTTGCAGGAATTTGCTTGTGACTGATTTTTATTGCACCTTGTACTTCTCGTCCCACAGCCCAGAGAATTCAGGCTGAGCCAAGCTGTCAGCAGGACTCAGGTGGTCCACTTCCTGGCGCATGTTTTCCTCTGGGTCCTCACCATCAGAGGAAGCTGACGATGAGCTGCTGATGCCACTTGTTTCTCTCCACTGCTGGACAAATGCACAAAGATGTCAGGTCCTAATTGTTCGGAATGCACTCAATCTCTCTGTGCTTTCACTTGAAATGAAATGGCATCTCAGATGTTAAGAACCACTCACAGCTGTGGCTCTCTCCTCTGTGGCTGATGGGGGTCTGGGGTCCAGGTAGTGCAGGAGATTGTCTCTTACCCTCCCCAGAGATGACAACTTGTCAGTGCTTGAGATATTAGGTAGTTTCGCCTGGTGCCTCTTTCTGCTCTTCACCAGCTGTTCCTCCTGGATGATTTTTGCCACGATCACCTTCTTTGACTTCTGTCTCTCTTCAAATTCCCTGAGAAGAGCAAATCAACAACACTGCATTATACTGAAATGGGGTCATATATTCCTCAGCGCAAAGCGAGAGAAAACACCCACACACTGCTGCATGGAGTGGGAGTGGAGGACATGCATGTGGGAGAGGAGAGAAGAGGGAAGGAGAGAAGAGTACGCACTCTTGTTTTTGTTTAATCGTCTCTAGTTGTTTCTGTTGGTGCATATGCCTGATACTGTTAATGCCTTGGGCCTCCAGGGATTTTCTCAATTGTTTTTGTTGTTCTTCTTTCTCCTGGGCATTTGCTTTAGCTCTGTTTTGTTGGATCCGTAAGCTCTCCTAAAGAAACAACAGGAGAGTAATGAAAACATATCAGATTACCATATGCATTAAACTGATCATCTGAAAGAGAAGAAAAGGATGTTACAAAAACATATTCTCCTAAATCATGAAATATACCTGTCGAATGTTTGGAAAATACAGCAATAAGTATGATGATGAGAGCAGCGCAGGATCATAATAACATGACAATAATAGCATACACAGTCCAGAACTGAATGTACCCATTGAAACACAAATAAAAATGTGGTCAGACGATAATTTGAGGTACTTGAAATCAGTATATACAGCTCGTGATGGCATGTTTTGTGAATGTGCAGTGTATATCAGCAAACAGATGTATAATGTAGTAAACCAACTGTTAGGGATTAGTACGTTTTGCAGAATGAAGAATTGCAATTTCTTTGCAGTATTTTGATTTGCAGTGTAAAGTTCATATGGTCACAGATATTTTTGCAATGTCGTGCTACTACTCCCAATTTTCCACTTCACACTGAAGATTCCCTCTGCAACATTTCCAAATAAATACATTGGTATTCATACTGTACACACTACACGGCCTTGCAGCTGTCATGAAAAGAAATGGGTGATTTGTATTCTCACTACACTTACTTTATTTTATTCTCGTGTGTTTCTGATATATATTTTATATACATACAATATTTTATTTCAATTATTCTTTTTTTTCACTTGGAATACAATCTGTACATGGCGAGTTCTATATAAATAATACACATTGGCTAGAAAAGGTGTGCGAGCCAACTTGGATTTCTCCATCGATGGGTTATTGGTAACTAAGTTGTCAGAGCATGAAAACCCTTTTTCTCTGTTTAGATGCAGTTTTGTAATGACCCCTGAGGGGCTCCGTGGAAAATGTTAGCTAATGGTGTGATAGAGAAGTAACTGGGGAAAATACCGATACTGACACTACACCAGCACTCGTAATAAATATTAGTGATTATATCCAGCTGAGATCAAAAAGGTTTCAACATAACATCTTATATGTTTACTCAGTGATACTTATAATACTTCAGGATACTAATACAACTAAGTTCCATACTTCAATCAGATACATGCATTTATGTGTGTATGGTCTATCATGCACTCATTTGGTGTCTTAGTATAAATCACATGAGGTTAAATTGTATCACTGCATCTTTAAAGCTTTTATGTAAATAATGTATCACTGCATAAATGTTGTGCTTAAAAGGTTATTCATGTAAGCACTTAGAAATGATCTTATATTGTACTCTTCATATCGCAGCTACAGAAAATGTTAATAATACATGGAACAACAGCCTGTGTGTCATCATGAAAAAGCAGCAGAATCAGTATGGGGGGCTGCTGTTTCTTACTTGTGTCGCTGCTATGTTGGATTTTAGTGACTTGACAGCTTGTATCCTCTTCTCCAGTAACTGTCTTTTCTGTTCCTCCTTCTCGGCCTCTTCCTGATGCATCCTGGAGGAAACGGGGACAATCACGAAGCATGTGAATGGTCAAATATACAGTGTGAGGGGGGAGCAAAAACTATATCTGCTATTTCTGCTTGGACACTGAAAATTCCAGAACCTGAATAATACAACGATTAATTATTATAACTCACAGAGACCCACAGAGCTGTCACATGGTAAATATAACAAGAAAATGAAAAAACAAATCAAAACAAGAGTTTTGGCTGTTACTAGGTAATGGCTTCTTTTACTTGTTTGAGCAAAGATTTAATGTTAAACAAAGATAGTGTCCTAGTGTATAAACAATGATTCTCTTTTGCTCATGGGCAGGTTGTCATGATCTAGGAGGGATAATCCACTCATAGCATTGGTTATTGAAAATGACACGTACTGAGAGGGGGCAGATTAACACAAAATTGATGCTAAGGATAAACTAAAGTGTCTATGTTTTGTCTTTTCGTGGATTTCTGATAATAAGAAAAAAAATATAGTTGCCATGCTTATCCTTTAGGATTTAGAGTGCGTACATTTCTGGTGGGTATGTCAGATTTCCAAAACGTTTGCTTCAAAAGAGCAAAACCTCATGTATATTGAAGCTTGTATGATTCCTACACAGATGTAGTGATGTTTGTGAACTATACGACAAATGAATCCCTGCATAGACCTGATCTCCTGTTCACTATAACGTTGCTGTGTGAATTTGAGCCTTTCCAAGTATTTTATCAGTCCCACTCTTAACATTTATCCCGTACGAATGATCAATTGGATGTGTCAACTCTCCAATGGGTGCTGTGTGATTCCTAATTTTCTTGTTCTAGTCTGAGTCCTGTTTATTGGCTTATGAGCTGATTACCTTTTAATGGTCTCTTTCAAGTACTTGGTTGCTATCTTGTGGTTCGCCTGGCGCTCTTCAATTTTCCTCTGACATTCAAGCTCCTCTTTCTTCTTCATGGTGACCTGTTTACTATCAGAACACAATCACAGACACATACACATCAGTCTATCCAAGGTTGTTCATAATTTATCCAGCTGATACACCAAACAGACTGATACAGGCTTATGAGGCTTCTCATAAAAATGGCATTGAACCATTTCATGGAAGTGATACATTGGACACACCTAGGGAGATCATTTATGTGTATTCATCTTATTTCGTTGCCTAAATTAAAACATTTGTTTGTGTAAACAGGTGCTTTATAAGTGTTTCTCCTGATCAGATATGTATTTTACCAACTTGTTCATATAGTGAGATCAATTAGCAGTTTTCTAAACAGTATAAAAGAGCAGTACACACAAAAAAACAAAAAAATGTGTGTATATGAAGGAAGTGGTAATATTTGTCCTACTCCTTGAGATGCCGAATCTTGAGCTGAAGGTTCTGGGTGGCTTGTCTCTCCTGCTGCAGCCTTGTTGCTGCCTTCTGGACCTTAAGGTCCTGGAAGAGCCGCTCCTCCTCCTGCACCTCTTGCCGGAGTGAAGAGAATCTGCTGAGCTCCATCTCCACCTCATTCAGCTCCAGTCTGAAGAGCCAGGACATAGGATGAGATAAAGTGTAGAAAGAAGAGGAAGCTAAACCTGCTGACCGGTGGTGTATGTGTATTTGATCAGCAGAGATAAGAACTATGTAGGGGTTCGAAGCCCACTACTTATGCATTTTGAACTTCAGTTTTTTAAAATAATAAATAAAAGGAACACATCAGTCAACTGTATCCGGGGGGAAAAATTTAATCCTTATTAGGCGGAACAGCAGTCAGACTAATTGAACGCATACTGACTGAAATTTTGCTTTAACAGATGGTTACTTAAAACAGAACGAAACAGGGTTCTTTCAGAATTTACAGAGCAAGCCTGATTTACCCACACCACACTGGATGGATTTATCTCTATAGAAGAGAAGTATACATGTGTTTGGAGAAATTAGCAAGCCCATTTTAGTGTGTTGCAGGACAACACTGTAATGTGGATCTACATTTTTTGCCGGATGACCCTACATGTTTGTTTTCTATGTCACTGGGTTTATGAAATGGTCCTATTAAATAGATACATGAGGGGACTACTGTTTAATAATACAAATGGCCATCAGAATAAGACCTCTCTGACTCACTTTAGCTGCTTCAGCTCAATGTTGAGGTGGCCTTCCAGCTCCTCTTCACTCTGCAGCTTCTGACACAAATGCTTGTGCTGGGTTCGTAAACGAAACACTGCCACACTGCAGAATAAAACAAACAAGGAGTGGAGGGCAGAAACATCTCAAATCCTGTATGTATAGAAATTAGAGGCCAGTCAATGTTTTGCCTATTTTAAACTCACCTGTTGTCTGCTGCTTTCTGTTGGTCTATCTTTTCCTCCAAAGTATCCCTCTGCTCCTCCAAACTTTTAACATTCTCACGACAGAGTTTCAGCTCTTCTCTGGAAAAAAAACATAAGGTAAAAGAGAAAGGTCTAAGTGTTGACATAAAGAAACACACCAGATCAAAATGGATCAGAAGTAACATTTCCAAGGCTGGTAAAGTGCAACGCGTTCAGAGCATCAGGCTAATTGATTTCCTTGTGGCCATTGCAACAAACTGAGGGTAATTTTGTCAGCTAAAGCAATCTAATGAAGATTTTGAAAAGCAGAGAGTGGACACAAACACACACGTCAACAGCTTTGAATTGCCCAATGTTCTGATTGCAGCCTAATGGTGTGAAACACAACAATCTGTGACTGGAGGGAAAACTGTCAAAGTAAATCATGGAACAGTAAAAGCTGCCGACTGGTTAAAAGCCAGGTGTGCTTAGGTTCCATTAAACTCATGTTTGATCAGAGCGCAGTACAGCTCCACAATGACCTCGGATGTTTTGCACTAAAAGGAAAACGACAGCCATTTTTGTTGGGGACTGCCTCACAGTTCATCGGCTGCTTAATGGCTCGATGTGCAGACAAATAAAAAGAGGGAAGAAAATTGGGGAGAGAGAACATTATGGGAAATGTTCTTTCTACTGCTGAAATGATTTCCAGCAAATTGCTGAATCAATTGGTACAGAAATGATTGGCCCTGTAAAGAGGACAAGAGAGGTAAGACCTGGGAGAGTGGAATAACACTGAAAGAGAGAAAAATTGATGTTTTTCCTGGCAAGGCAACAACCTGTGAAAAAGACACCTGTGTTTTATTGCTATTCTTACAACAAAACAAATGCAAGGTTTTCCTTTACGAGTACAAGTGTCTATCTATGTTTCTGAGCTACTGTGGCTTTAGTCTGTTGTGTGCCAGGTCCAGACCTGGCTCTCAGCACGTCATGCTCCTTCTGTCGGTGAAAAGAGTCCAGCTGGTCCAGGTTTCGCCTCAGCTTGAACATCCGTGCTGTCTCGGCATAACTCCTCTTCTGACCATAATCAGCCTCAACCACAAGGTCACCGTCACCATCGTCCTCTCTTGAGACAGATGCACAATGTTATTTAGGAAAGGCTGCATATTTAAGTCCAACTTTGCATTTCGCACATAGATAAAATCATCCTACAATTATACTTGAAAGTGTGTACTGGGATCTTGCAATGTAGAAAACATTTTGTAGGGACAAAACACAAGAAATTGCGCTTGAATATTTTGTATTTAAATATCATTGTGAGAATGACAATGAGTTACAATGAAATGATGTTCTACGGTGGATACGAACAAGGAGATGACATGGTTGATGCATAAACATGTACATGTTATTGTCTAAAAGAGAAATGATTCACAGAAAATGTAATAAATGCTTACTCAGACAACTCTTCTAGCCAATCCAAATCAGGAGGAAGAGGAGGCTCCTGGTGCGAACCTTCATCTGAAATGTATACATACATTAATTAAGGATATCCCACTTTTTAAACTGTGGACATATGTATGTCAATAAAAGTGAATTACAGGGAAGATTGTGTTTCCACAAGCATCGGCTGTATTTTGCAAACAAGCCTAAAACAGGTGCTGTCCCTCACCTTCAGTGTGATGATCAGTGCTGAGGTGGACATGATCCCACAATCCACCACTGCCTGACACCACGTCACGTGGACCTTCCTGGTCTTCTTCGTCCATTTCTCCTCATTAATAAATCAACACACCTAACGGGAATAAAGACGCTGTGCTCAGTGTCAGGACAATCCTCTTGAATAACTGACGATATCAAGTGGCGTCGTTCATTGAATTACTGTCGGCAACCTCAGTTTAAAAAGCTGATATCCCAATTTAAAATGTTCCCTGATAAATTCAATATGTGCCGATTCAAAGCTGAAGTCTTACTCACTCGCATTAGATGTTCAATCACATTTTGAAGTGTGCACGTAAGTAAATATATGTAAGACAACGTCCAATAACCGGATTTCCGAACGGAATCTGGCGTGTCGTTTAACTTCGCTACAGAAAGGTCGCTAGCTGAGCTCAGCAGCGAGTAAACTGTCCCGTTTACAACCACCAGCTTCATTTAGCAACACTGTTCCACTGTGTTACCTGTGCTACATGTGTTACCGTGCTACCTGTGTTACCTGGCGCTGACGAGGATTCACTGCTCCTGTTACAAGTGTCTTCACTAAGGTTCTTCCTCTAACAGCAAACTTCATCCACCATGTTTGTTAGTGTTTCCATGGAGACGGGAAGCAAGGGGCGAGGCCTGAGCGTGAAACCAGCTGACAGACTGACAGATAGATAGATAGATAGATAGATAGATAGATAGATAGATAGATAAACAGACAGATAGATAGATAAGTGGACAGACAGACAGATAGATAGATGGACAAACAGACTGACAGACAGACAGACAGACTGACAGATAGATAGATAGATAGACAGATAGATAGACAGATAGATAGACAGATAGACAGATAGATAGATAGATAGATAGATAGATAAACAGACAGATAGATAGATAAGTGGACAGACAGACAGATAGATAGATGGACAAACAGACAGACAGACAGACATACAGATAGATAGATAGAGAGATGGACAACAGACAGACTGACAGACAGACAGATAGATAGATAGATAGATAGATAGATAGATAGATAGATAGATAGATAGATAGATGGACAAACAGATAGACTGACAGACATACAGATAGATAGATAGATAGATAAGAAATACAAGAATTACATTAATTACATTGCACACAGTAAACGACAGACTTATTTGGATTGTGTGTTAAAGGAATCCCTGGTGTCTCTGGTCTTACTTACTATTCTTATTTTTTATAATTTACACCAACGCTTAGTTTGCTTCATTTACACATGTCTTTTTCTTTTCCTCTTCCAGCTGTTGTTTCCTTTCAGCGGTGCATCTATAATTCCCTTCACCATCACAGGTTTATTTCTTTGGACTGATATCAGTCAAGCCACACGCAGCAGAAAATATCTCAGCTGGTTCAGAAAGAATGATGAATCTGTGCGTTATGCAAAATCTTTTGTCGAGCAAGCAAGAGTGAGGAGCCATATCTGATTCACACTGGAAAAAGATGATTTCCAGTTGATCAGAGCTGCACTGGCACAATGAGCTTTTTACTTTCCAGAAGAGGAGCTGGGGAGAGATATATGGGCTCTGCTGTACAACACATTGAAATCCTGTGATACAGGAATATCACCATGGGAGACTGAATAAATATATATTATAGTGAAGAGTGTGTTTGTGTGTGTAATGTAAGATGATGGGCAAGTTTTTTTGCAGAGATAAAGGCAGAGCAAAGTAACTACGAGGGAATCAAAGACCCCAGATATATGATAGGATGAAAACAGATGGAGCAGAGGGAGCAGGGGGAGGGAGCAATGGAGACATACATGAGGATGAAATGAATAAACAGAAAAAGAAAGTGTTTGTGTTTGAGTGACACAGAACACTATCCTATTCAGTGCATTGCAGCTTGCAACATAGTATCTTCATGTGAAATGACCTTGCAGCGGAGGGTCCGGTGGGAGGTGGAGCTGCTGGTTTGAGTCCACAGTCACTGACTTGAGGCCTCTGCTCCCCAGGGTGAGGCAGCAGAAACCAGGGCAGGTGCACTGCTGCAGCTCCTCTCCCTGCAGTATGTAAAAGTAGACCTATTTTTAATGAGGAGAAAAATAAAAGGCTGCGGATTTTGGCAGAATGAAGGATATATCTCTTGTTATATTTTAAATATCCTGTGTTGAATCAGACTGGGTGGAGATTAAAGTGCTTACTGAGATTAGACCTCTGGGACCCACATAATACTTATATAATATAATAAATCCCTTGAGGATTCATTGAATGATTCCTCTGATATAGTGAGATGTGTTTGCAACCTTGTATCTAAAATATTACTTCAAATGTCTAGTGCCTTTTTTCAACTTCATGTGGTCTTGAGATAATTGTGAACCCCGATGTGAAAGGTCCTAAATTTTAATACAATTACAATTACAATAAAAAACTTGAAGGTCACATTAAACTGACAGAAAAAATCCTCTGGTCCCAAACTGCAAGTGTATCATTCAGGTCTGATATGTGAGATTGATCAATTATTAAAATAATAAAATCTTATGTCAAATGAAAACAAATAGCCAGGCAGAAGCATTCATAGATTTAGGACTATATGCAAATGTTCTGTACATTATGTAGGGAGGTGACTAACTGGACTTTAGTTGCTTGCATGTGATTATTTGAATAGCTTTTAGTTAGATAGTGTACATATAATCATGATCATACATTTTTTTTGCATCCCCTAATGCTGGGTGTATGTGTCTTTAACACATATAGATTTCATATATTCACTTGGCTCCTGTGTGTAGTGCTCAATGAACAGAGTGTACCTTGCCTCAATGCCTCGCTGAAATGTCACCTGGGATGCATTCCAGCCGCCCGTCCCTGCAACCTCTGCGACCCTAAATGGATAAGTGGTACAGAGAATGGATGGATAGATGAATGGGTGGAATTTTGGACATTTGTGTGTATTTTTGTGTCTTTACTTGACAATAAGATTACAGAAAAGGGAGGGGGATGTCGGTGGAATGACATGTAGGCCTGATAAAGGAGGACTGGACACAGTGTCCATACCCTCAGTTAGCCCCCCCGCCCGACCATATTCTTCAATATGACGTGTGGGCCCGGTGTAGTCTACCTTTACTTTGATATTAAAAATAATCTCCACTAGATTCCATTGGGATCAACTCTTCAAATGAGGGTCTATGGTCTCCATTGGTCATTGTGAGAACCTCTGCACCACGTGGACCCTGATGCTGTCTGATCTGCATGTGTGCACACAAACATGATATATAGTGTTGATTTGGAGCTATCAGTGGAACCTTTATATCTTTTCACACAAAATGAAAGCTCATGTCAACTCCACTGTTTAGTTCTACTAAAGCTGGATGTGCTTGGATTATTTCAGTTAATTTACTGATGCGATGAGAGTAAGCTACCGTCTGTTACTGATGGAGAAAGATCATCTGAACCAAATCAAGGACTTTCCTTTGTCCACCTTCGTGTCCATCAGTGTTACAGCCTCTGCTGTCTGGTCTTGTTCCACCAGAGAGAGAGACCAAAGTTTTTCAGACAGTGAGATATTAAATAACCTAATGGACATTACTGAAATGTCTCAAACATTACATAATGTGATGAAGTCTTATGTTCGTGACAGCCTTAATGTGGCCAGATTGGATCTGACGTTCAGACGGAGGGATGGACAGATTAGTGAGTCTCTCTCTCTCTCTCTCTCTCGCTCTCCCTCTCTCTCTTTCTCTCTCTCTCCTCTGTTGCTGGGGGACAAGCGGCGGCAGTGGATCGGTGCGTCTCAGCGGTGGAACCGGGAGTTTTTTCCTTTTCCTTAGGTGCGCTCTCTTTACGCGCGGTCCTGGTCGCGAGGACTTGGGGTGCTGAACATGGGGTCACCATCATCTTCATCATCTTCCTCACCACCCTCATCCTCAGCATCTCCAGCGCAACTCTTTACTTTCTGCTCGGAGTCTCAGGATCACGAGAGGAGCGCACTCAAATAAAACTCCGTGGCTATTGTTATATTCTGTCCTCGATTTCCAGTCCGGGAAAGTTTCCTACTGGTAAAACTGTCATCGACCATTACGCGTGTGTGGAATGGAGATCCCAACTTTCCTGCTGCCGAGTCTGGCTCTGCTCTTTGTCGGAGGCGATATTTTCACCAGGTGAGATCAGCCTCGCTTTTCTTTACTTCTTGCAGGTATTCATTCGGTCGGAGTAAGTTCGGATATAACAATAAGTCAAAGTGTACTCAAAGATCAAGGAATCAGGATTATATCATGAGGAAAAGTATCCTCTTTATGTGGATGGTGTATTCTGTACATTATGCATTAGACAACACCCAGCATCACTATGGAGATCCAATCATCCATTTGAAAAATGAAAATAATAGATGTTGCTGCTGAAAATCACCTCCTACAATGTTACCTCATTTGCATTAAACCTAAAGCTTGTGCACAGTGAATTTACTTCAGTTTCACTCTGCACATATAAAAATAGTTCTCCACACCCACAACCTGGAGTCTGTTCCCTGCTCTGCTCTGCCTCAGGGCACATGGATCTGATGACTCCATTTGCATAATGCATATGCATAAGGAGAGGTGATTTTAAAAAAAAAGTATTATTATTATTAATGGAGAACACTGGATGAGGTGAGTGGGTGTCTCTTCGTGTGGCAGGTAATGTCACCCACCTCCAGGCCTGGCACTTAGGGGTCAAATATCATTAAAACAGGCCTCCATTCATTTACAGTGAACACCAGCAGCTGCTTTTTTCTATATATGCTATAATATAGATTGTGCAGATGGACCTCTTCCTCCAGTCCTACACAGTTAGCCAAAATTAGTCTTTAACAATGATCCAATCATCTCCTACTGAGAACCTAAAGTGAGGTGAGATAATCAAATAGTGAAAACAGAGCTGCTTGATTTGCAAAAAGCCATTTAAAGTGTCATTTAAAGTGACTGTACAGCCCTGACGATTACACAGGTTTCTAACATACAAAGCAGTTGGATTAAACCAGATGGTGAGTTTTGAACTTAATAATTATCTTTTCAATAGAGGCCTATAGAACATTCAACTACCCGCAGTCAAAATGCCCTTGTGTTCTTATTCATGAGCTTTCACAGGCTTCCAGTTCTTGGGATAACTAGCATCAGCCGCTGAGCTGCATGTTTCCGCCGCAGCCCACGCACCTCCACTGAAAAGGTCAAAGGGTGAAGCTATTAAAGCGTTGGGTGAAATTTGGGCAAATCACTTCTCTATTGTCCCTCTTGGCTGTTTACCAGCAGAGGGAGTAATAGCTATTGTAATTGGATTTTCCTGCCTCTAGTCACTGCTGTTATTATTATTTTGTTCTCAGCACAATGCAGAATGTAGGCTTTTTCTTGCACCTCATTTAGTGTCAGCTCTTTCTTCTCTCTTTCTCTCTCTCTCCCTCTCACACACATAGTTTTCGCCCTTGTGGCTGAAAGTTGCAAACCGCTTCCTCTCCTCGCCCCATTCCCTTGTTCAGTGAAGAATTACTTAACTTTTCTCGTTAAGCTAAGTTGTGCCTTGCCACCTTTTGTGTGGTGTGAATTTCACAGCTTCTCTTTCCAGCTGAAGTGTCACGTACCCTTCATTTCA